CGAATTTTTTCATCTCTAAAATGTAAGCAACTAGTATACAGTTGTTATATGTCTATGTGATATGCAATAAAAGCTAATGTTCCACCACACTCAAGTGAAACCCATCTCGAACAGCCAGTTCTTGACCAGGTTGTTCAAGGAAAAATGTCTTGGTTGTCCAACAAAACTTACAGGTCTGAACCTGCTGATACATCAACATGACAAAGAGCATCCCTCAGGCCACACACAAATGAGAGATTGTTCCTTGTTAACATCTCAGGAAATTGTGCTGTGAACATTGTTGTGTGTTTTAGCTTTTGTTGCTGGTGAAATGACTGATTAGCACAATTTTAAACATAAAGAGGCCATCAAGCATGCTGAGGTTGCTAGGGGTGTAAAAGTGTTCACCAAACAATGGTCACAGGTAATTGAAGAGGTAGAAAATCTGTTGGTGATTCGATGACAGCATTTTGGAAGCAGTGTGACAGCATTTTGTAAGCAGTGATATGTGAAAAAGTGAAGAGGCCCCCTACTGACCTCCGGAAAGGCACCCCTGGACCGAGTACTGAAAGTGATTCTTTAAAGGCTATTAGGGGGTGGCTCAATAAATTTAAGAAAAGAAGGGTTTGTTTATAGATTAAACAGTACATTAGATATATACTGTATATAAGAAAGGTTAAAATAGGGAATCGTTTGGGGGTCTGGAAGAGATTGACTCAATTTACATGATTTCTAGTGGGGGGTAAAATGATTCAGTTTTTGAACAAGTCACTTCTCAAACAGCCTCTGGAACAAATGAAGTTTGAGAACCAAGACTCCACTGTATTTGTAGGACACATCTTGTAAGTTGTGTATACTTTCCTAGACTTTATGGCTTACATAGGAGTTGATAATTTACAGGGAATTAAAGAGGACCAATATTTTGCATGAAAGAACAGAACAATAATGCATGGTTGGAAGACAGAGAAACCAAAGAATCAAAAAGAAAAAGAAAAGGTACATTTTTATAGATTCTGGTTTTCGTTCTCAATGTTGGTGGCCTGTGGTTCATGGAAAGGCATGCAGGTTAAATGGCCTGGGTCCTGGGACAGCTCTCTCCCTGTCGTCCTTGTGACTGGGAGGTCATTGAGTGGATGGGCTCAAGTTCCTCGTCAGAATTCTTCTGAATTCTATGGTCAAGTGTATGTGTCATTACACTGAAGTCTGAAGCTCAAGAAGTTGCCCAGAAGTCTAGAGACTTTGAAGAAGTGGGCAAGAGCAGAGAAGACAAAGTTGGAGAAATGGTGTAGAAGTAGTTTCAAGGCGTCCATGTTATAGTAATCCTTCCACCCCTGCATTTTGGGGGTCACCTGTCCTCCCCACACTTTGAAGCCAGCAGGGCTGTTCATCTTGGCGAGGATATGGTGTAATGTGAACAGAGAGACTAGTTCTTCCATTTTATAAATCATTTTCTTCTCAGTTTGAACTCCCTCCCACCCACCCCCCAGGCCATCAGAAAAAGGGTGAATTTTCTGGAAGAAGAACTTATTTCATTGGAAATAAAGCAAACAAATGGGTATGCATGTTGAAGTGGCCCAGAAGGAGAAGGGGCGCTGGGAGCAGGAGCAGTAGAGAGGGTGAGGCAGGGACCCCATTCGGTTGAGTCTCTGTTTTCTCAGACATCAGCCACTGTAAGAGCTGTGCACTTTCTTTCTCTATAAAGGATAAAAGATTCTCCAGAAATGTCTTGAATTTGGAGAATGTTCTTGGGTCTGGTCACAGTATAATCTTGTAAAGTAAGCATGAATTTTCAGAGTAAGTATAGAGCAAAAATCTGTTCTTTAGAGACACTAATTTAATCTCTGCCTGGTGATTTTTTTCAACAAACAGAAATCTCTATGTGACAGGCGTTGATTTAGGTGCTACAGATAAAGAAAACTAATAAAGTGTCAAGATCTTCATACTAAAAAGCTAAATATTGAAAAAGCTGTAAGCAGCCTAAATGCCCATCCATAGTTGAGTGAAGAAGGTGTGGTATATATATAATGGAATATTTATTACTTGTTCATAAAAAGGAGTGAAATCCTACCATTTACGACAACATGGACGGCCCTAGAGGGTACTATGCTAAGTGAAAGAAGTCAGAGAGCAAAAGACAAATACCATATGATTCCACTTATATGTGTACTCTAAAGAGATAAATAAATGGACAGACAGAAATAGCCTCCTGCAGAGAAAAACTTACGGTTGCCAGATGGGAGGTGGGTTGGGGGACTGGGTGAAAAAGGTAAATGGATTAAGACGTACAAAAAAGTCCCACCTAAAAAAAAAAAAAGGACCAGCATAGGGAATGTAGTCAATAATATTGTAATAACTATGTATGGTGCTGGGTGGGTACTAGACTGATTGGGGGGATCACTCCGGGATCACTCTGTAAGGTACATAAATGTCTAACCGCCATGCTGTATACCTGAAATGAATATAATATTGAATATCAACTGTAATCGAAAATGTTTAAAGTTTTAAAAGAAATAAAAACAAAACAAAAAGCTATGTAGGAAGAAGGGCTGTGGGAGGTTCGAGAACACAGTCTTCACGGGGTAGCGTTTGCTACTAATAGTAGCAGTGAGCAAGATCAACCTGCTACACCTACCTCTACAATGTTCGACCTTTTTCATCTCATGGCACACATAAACTAATTACTAAAATTCTGCAGCACAACACAAAGATACGTATTTTGCTGCTCTGACAAAAAAAAATCAGTATGATTTTGATTTATTCACACTGGACTGCCTTTGTTGTGTTGGCTATTGTTTTTTGTTTGTTTGTTTGTTTGTTTTTAATCCTCACCCGAGGACACCTTTCCATTTTTTGTTCAGGTAGAGTGGGAGGGAGAGAGAGGAACAGAGAGAGAGAGAGAGAGAGAAACATCGATGTGAAAGGAACACATCGAGTGGCTGCCACCCGCACAACCAACCAGGGCCGGGGACAAACTGCAACCGAGGTACATGCCCTTAGCGGGAACCGAACCCGGGTCTCTCCGGACCGCAGACCTACGCTCTAACCGCTGAGCCAAACCAGCCAGGGCTATTGTCGTTTTTTTACTTGCCGATCGCAGGTAAAAGAGGTCAGTGCTTTGACTAATAGTCAAGTGTTGCGTGTTTTACAAATTCTTGCGGTGCCCCAGTTGAAGATCTCCAGTCTAGCACATAAATTCAGCACTGATTTTGCAGACACTTCACACACTTTATCTAATTTAGTCTCACAACTGTACCAAGCAGTTAAGAGTGTTGTCACTGTTTCACAGATGTGGATACTGAGGCCAGGAGAGGAGAAATTACTTGCTCAAGGCACAGCCCTGTCAATGGCAGAGCAAGAGTCGAACCCATCACCATTATTACGAAGATATTATAAAGGAATGTTTTATAGGATTCACCACCCTGAGGTTTAAAATGATTTTTCAATAATAGTCAATGAATTCATATACCAGTATATATTTCTTAATGTCCAAAGCAGATCTGTTTGATGTAATTTTGTCTCTTTTATGTTTTAAGTGTTTTATCTTTATCTGAAGAATTATTGAGTCATATATAAATTATAAATGGTAAATGATTGTTTTAAAACAACCGAACAGGGCTAATGGTTAAGCATTTTATTAGCATGAATGCTTGTCTGTAGTCTTTTCTCTGGTACTCGTCTTTCAACAGCTTTATCCAAAGAATTGCTTGGCTATACTTAAGACATATAAGCAATAAGGAGAGAAAAAGTCATATAATGCTATTCTCTTTTGTACAAGACATTTTTTGAAGGTAGAGATTCTTGCTAACCCTCTGTTTATAGCTGTTAATTTGTTTTTAAAATCCCCATTGTTGAAGAGTACCTGTAATTACATAACTAATGGCAGAATTTGTTCTTACATGAGTAGTTCTTAAAACTCTATTTATACTCAGAAATACAAATGTTGAAAATTACGTACTGTTAAAATCAGAAGCGAGAGCAGTTTTATTTTCATGAATGCTAGAGTGATGTCCCTGTTAGAAATAGGGAAATTAGCATTCCCCTCTCCTCCAAATCACTCATATCTTAAATTAATATAAACATAACTTACTTGTTTGAGAAAATATTTCTATAAAAAATAGAGGTTGTGTACTGTTAAACATTAGGAAGCTATTTTGACTTGAGTGTAACAAATGTTTTAGGAGGTTCATCAAAATGGTCTTTTAATGGTTTACACTAACTGGGCTTCACCAGCCGGTGTCAAACCTTATTCAAAATTTAGAAATTTCTTTTGTTTAGTATTCCAATTAATGTGGTTAGTGATTTTGAGCATGTGATGTGTTTCAGAAGTACATGGGATTATTGATTCATTTCCTGGAATGCTCATTGGCTTTGGGAAACACGAAGACACCTGTTCAAGAGACAGGTGTCAGGACCTGAATCTAGGTCATGTTTATTTGCCCAGTCTTATGGCAAGTGAGGCTGTCTCTGTCCAGAGTTCTGGGAAATGTTTACCAGTCTGTCTAAATCACCAAAAGTTGCCGGTTTTCATCCAGTTTAAATTAAGTTGCATGTAGGTTGATGGCAACCTTCATTCTAAGAAAATAAAAGCAGGTCCTGGCCAGTCTGGCTCAGTGGTTATAGCATCGGCCCACGGACCAGAGAGTCCCAGGTTCGGTTCCTGCTAAGGGCACATACTTTGGTTGCAGTTTGTCCCCGGCCCCGGTTGGGGTTGTGTGGGTAGCAACCACTCAATGTGTCTCTCTCACATCAATGTTTCTCTCTCTCTCTTCCTCCTTCTCTCCCTCCTGCTCTATCTGAAGATAAATGCAAAAAATGTCCTCGGATGAGGATTAAAAAAAATGATAAGGTCCTGGGTCTCAGTCAGTTCTTGAGGATATGTGGTGTGTGAGCCCACAGGTGTGGATTTAGGGAGACATGGCAGGAGGGAGGGATCAACTTCATGCAAAAGGAAATTTCAAAAGCCTTAATAAAATTACATTATTACATTAGAGAGACTTTTAATATTTTATTTTATTTTTCAGAAGAGGACTGTCAGAAGGATCTGGAAAACACAATTTTGCTGTGAAAAGTAAAGATCCTTTACCTACACATTTTACAAGAAAAGTGCAGAAAGCCATTGATAAATATACCTGGTAAGAATTAACCTGTGAAATGCTTCTGACTACAAAACCAAAACATGCTGATAATGAATATGGGAAACAAAATCTGTGACTGGTCATGAATTTCTAAAAGTAAAAGAGCAGCCCGGCCGGTGTGGTTCAGTGATTGAGCATTGACCCATGCACCAAGAGATCACTGGTTGGATTCCTGGTCAGGGCACATGCCCAGGTTGTGGGCCAAATCCCCAGTGGGGGGCATGCAGGAGGCAGCTAACCAATCATCGATGTTTCTCTCTCTCTCCCTTCCTGTCTCTCTTAAAAAAAAAAAAAAAAAAAAAAAATCAATAAAAGAAAAAAACATATTTTAAAGCAGGTTTATTTTCAATAAAACTAAAATTAGTGAAATGTTACACTGCATAAATATTTAAAAATTTGATGGGCTGTAAAATGGACAAATATACCTAAAGAAATAAGAGGAAATGGCTCGGGGAAGTAAAGCCACTTCCCAGTCCAACCTCTTCCCAGGAAATATCATTATGTTACTTGTGTTTGTTCCTGCAGTGTGTCCACATCATCACTTTCATCCAGTGGAAACTCTACACCCACGGAAGCCCACAGCTCTTGGTGTGGGTCGGGGACGCAGAGCTCGGCCACTGGCTTGTCTACGGAGAGGAGCTCCGTTTACTCGTGGAGAGATGACGTATGTCTCAGAATACTTTGGATAATCCCGTGATTACAATGTATGGCGAAGAGTTGCTTTCTTATTTAAAAAAAAAAAAAAAAAAAAAAGTCTTTTTATCAATTTTAAAAGCATTACCTATTACACACATACATAGCCATACATGTAAAATCATTTACAAGTCACACATAGGAACTTGAAAATAGCAGGAAAAATCAAAATCACTCATGTTCCCATAATTCAAAGTTTTTGCTACTGACAGCTTTGTTTTCCCGGCTTGCCCCACCCCCTCGCTGTGTTCCATTTAGCTGCTTGTAGGAGCTCCACGGCTGGAAATTCAGGACTGTGCTGAGCGTGGGAACGCAAGAGGAACGTTTGGGAGACGTATAAACTAAAATAGCACCATGATTAGAGAATTTCTAACTCTTGTGGAAACTGTTAAGTTGAACCCTTTATTTGTTCTTTTCGGGAGTGGGATTTCTAGCTGGGAGGGCTTTTCGTCTGCGGGTCGCCCGGGCTCCTGCCTCTTCAGCCCCTGAGAATCCGGGACACGGCCCTCTGCGAAGCCCTTGTGGCCGGGGGCCTCCACCACAGCACTTGGTGTTCCCACTCCTGCTCTTTGCTTATGTTCTGTTTTCCTTTGCTCTCCACAAGCCGTGCTCTGCCGGCTCCTCTTGCTCCTGCGGGTCACGGACACGTCTCACAGCTGTGATCTCCAAGTGCGGGAGGGGTCGCCGCAAGGCAGTCAGCTCTGAATCACTCATCAAATTATACGTGACTTGCCCTGGCCAGTTTGGCTCAGCAGTTGAGCGTTGGCCTGCGGACCAGAGTCCCGGGTTCGGTTCCTGCTAGGGGCATGTACCACACACACACACACACAAATATATACGTGACTCTCATTTCTGATAAACAGCCCTCACTTCACGCCCACTCCCTGCCACCCCTACTCACACTCTTGGCTCATGAGTATACAGGTGGGAAGAAGGCTGAGAATCGTTGCTTCATCCAGTCCAAATGCTGGGATTACTAAAGGATTACATGTTTTCATGTCATTACCCAGAGAGACTCTGACCTTCGTTGACAGAATTACATTACTTCAGAACCTACAGTTGCTTTCAAACACTTTTATTTACTTTTTGATAGGTAATACTTACAAAAGCAACCAAATGCAAAAGAGAGAATATTGAAAGTAAGCCCTCTTCCTGGTCACAACTACCCAGTCCCCTCCTAAGAGGCATATATTATTATTTATATGGCTTATATTAAAATTTATAAATAAATTTTCTCCTTATTTTCATTTTAAAAGATAATTCAACTCCCCTGCAACCTGGGTATCGAGTTTATTATCAACTGAAGGGAAGAAGTCACACAGAAAAAATTGAATAGCATTCTATAAAAATCAACCTGAGTATACCATTTGGATCAGGTACATCAGACTGAACATGTACTTTGTTGCCTTGATGTGGATTAGATTTCAGGTTCACACATCCCTGGAAGAAAAGACAACCAGGGCTCTTGCCCGGGGGGCTGCCAGGTCAGTGTTTGTTCTCCCAGTTGTGGTAATGTTCAGGTTCTCCTCGTTGGTACTGAGGGCTGTAGGACTGTTGCGTCCCAACCACTGAGAACGCACAGAAAGGTCGAAAGGTTTTCTTACCCACATCTCACTGCAGCCACAGTCCAAGAACCTGTTTAGGTCAGGCAGGAAAAATTAATACTCTGGCCTCACCCTAATAACCACCCCTCCGGATTTTTTTTTTTTACTTGATTGAAAGAATATAAATGTCCCTTTCTATAAAATCAATTTTCCTTTTCAGTGGTGTCATAAAAAAAAAAAAGAAGTTTGTACCACATGATCTCACTTATTTGTGGAATATAATGAACAAAATAAGCAGACAAACAAAATAGATCCAGAGACATGGAAGTAGGGAACAGACTGACAGCCCTAAGGGAAAGGGGGGGGGGGAGCGATAAACCAGAAAACTTACATGCATATATGCACAACCAGTGGACACAGATAACAGTGGGATTGTGGAGGAGGGTGTCAATGGGGGAAGAAGGAGGGACATCTGTAATACTTTCAACTATAAAGATATTTTTTTTTTTAATAAAAAGAAAAATTAGTTTGAATTTTGCAGATGTGCTTAGGGTGTGTCTCACTCAGCCACATGAGGAAACATAGATCTGCATATATACACGTGTGTTTGTGCATAGATACATAATTATGTGTGTCTAAGTATCTATATCAGTCTGTGCCGATATGTGTACCGATAACTATATCCATGTAAAATCTCAAATATGTCTCATAACTCAGGTGGTAGGTGATCTCTACCTAACAGTTAAAATCACTGAGGTTCAGAGTTAGATGCAGTGTGTCAGAATGAAAATTGCAGCACTGATGTGTCTGACCACAGCGTCCACTTGTTTCTATCTGTCACAACGGGTGCTTTAAATATGTGAATACCATTGACCATGGAGCCTATCTTTCTACAGCTTCTCAGTCTTACAGCTCAATGTGCAATTCTCTTGTAGGAGTTTGACCAAAGCAGTGCGCAGAAGGTGCAGCAGTTATTCTGGGAGGTCGAGGAAATGTTGTTCGAGGGGAAAGTGAGCCCTCAGACCCAGAACCTCATGGCTGAGTGCAGTGAGTGGGCCGGACGATCCGTCCACCTGAGGTAGGGAGGTCGTTCTTTTTTTTTTTTTTATTTGTTTGTTTGTTTGTTTTTATCCTCACCCGAGGACATTTTTTCATTTTTTGTTCAGGTAGAGTGGGAGGGAGAGAGAGGAACAGAGAGAGAGAGAAACATCGATGTGAAAGGAACACATCGAGTGGCTGCCACCCGCACGACCGACCAGGGCCGGGGACAAACTGCAACCGAGGTACGCGCCCTTAGCGGGAACCGAACCCGGGTCTCTCCGGACCGCAGGCCGACGCTCTAACCGCTGAGCCAAACCGGCCAGGGCAGGGAAGTCGTTCTTAGTAATTCACCAGAATGGGTTTGGGAACTGCACGCTCCTGACTTGCTTTACATAATGAGTACATTTTAACTGAAGCACTTGCCTGGTCAAAAAATGTATCCAGAACACATGCCCTTGACTGAGAAATCGCATGCTTTGGGCTGGCATTGAGGAAGTAGTGGGACAACCCAGTACTCAAGGGCATCTTCAGAAGTGAGCAGCACATTTATTGCTCGGAAAGGCATTCCACGCATAACAAGTGCAAGAGTGGTAGACGTCAGCTTTTCCAGTATGTGAGCAACATGTGTATCCTCAGTGCCGGGAGCAGGCACAGGTGGCGGTGGGGAGGGACAGAGTAATTCTTTGCTGAATGACTGGATAGAGGAACCTAACCACTGCCCCGAGGTCCCTTACGCAAGAAGGATCATTTGTTGTTGTTTACATCGAAGATGGAGAATATAGTTTGAATATGAAGGGAAGCTTTTCTTCTGTCAATTACTCAGCCAAACTACTTCGGAGAAAACTCCATATAGGTTACCCGAAGTTCCCCTATATTACATCTGGGGAGATGAAGGAGAGTCTTCATACAGATGGTGGGTCTCCTGGTGACCTCGACAAGGCGCCTTTAGAAAAATCTTGACTAAGTAGGTTTTTATCTTTTCCTTTTAGTCCTTCATCAGCTTCCTGCCCTGGAGAATGTAGTATATCCACTAGGTATTAATTGTGGGTGCTTACTTTTCTAGGCCTGTGAACCTACTAAAATGTCAGGAGCTCGGACCTGTTAACTCAGAGATAAGATAAAAAATATAAGGAGGGAAAGATGGGAAAGAAAAGATTGCAGGGAACAAGCCAAGTCTACACATTTCTATTCACTATGTTGCTATCAGTTAACATTTCTAGAGAACTTCTCTGTGCCCAGCATTACCCCGGATCAGTGATTCAAACCTTTTTTTCATTCCAGGGCACACATAAACTAATTACTAAAATTCTGCGGCACATCAAAAAGGTATTAGATTTTTGCCGATCTGACAAAAAATGTATAATTTAAAACTATTCACAACTGATGGCTGTTGTGTTCAATACAGTATTGGCTGTTGTCATTTTTTTCTTTGACAGTCTAAGGGGGAAGAGGTCAGTGCTCCTGACTACAAAGGTTTAGCATGTTTTATTTATTTATTTTTAAAAATCACCCGAGGACATTTTTTTGTTCAGATAGAGTGGGAGGGAGAGAGAGGAAGAGAGAGAGAGAAACATGGACATGAAGGGGACATATTCAGTGGCTGCCTCCTGCCCGACCCAACCAGGGCTGGGACAAACTGCAACCGAGGTACGTGCCCTTAGTGGGAACCAAACCCGGGTCTCTCTGGACCGCAGGCTGACACACTAACCACTGACCAAACCGGCCAGAACAGTATGGCATGTTTTAAACATCCTTGTGGCAATACCTTCCTATGTCGTCAGGGGCACCGACCTCTTTTCTCTTAGATTGTAACAACTTTAGAGTGTCAAATAAAAAAATGACAATAGCCAACATAACATAGCTGTCCGGTGTGCATGATTCAAAATTATACTTACAATTTTTTGTCAGATCTACAGAAAACGTGTTTTTTGGTGTGCCGCAGAATTTTAATAATTAGTTTATGTGTGCCATGAGATGAAAAAGGTTGAAACCATTGCCCTAGATGTACGGATCTGATAGACTTGACCTCTGGGTGACTGTTGTTATTCTTTATTGCTCACACTGTCTAACAAAGGTAATCAGTGGCTCGGAGCCAGAGAGCTTCGCCTCAGATCACTTCATCCTTCAAAGAAACAGCCTGTCCTCTCTCTTCAAGCCTAGAGATGTTCTGTGACGCCACAGTGCTTATTGCGTCACATGTATTTCTTCAAAATAGTATTTTATTTGACCTTTAAATTTGCAAAACAGGCCCTGGCTAGTGTTCTCAGTGGTTAGAGTGTCAACCCGCACACCCAAGGGTCTCGGTTTAATTCCTGGTCAGGGGCACGTACCTGGGTTGCAGGTTCCATTCCTGTCTGAAGCGAGCACATTTGGGAAGCAACCAGTCAGTGCATCTCTCTCACATCAATGTTTCTCTCTCTCTCTCTCCCCCCCCTACTCCCTCCCTCCCTTCCACTCTCTCTAAAAATCAATGGAAAAAATAACCTCCCGTGAGGATTAACAACATCAACAACAACAAATTGCAAAAACATTTTCTCCTTTTCCACTAAAAATTATTACTTTTCTCTCTCTTTTTTTTAAAACCTTCCAGAGTATTAGGAAGACAGATCATCCTGCCAACTGATGAAGGGGTCCGCCACTTCCAAGACAGGGAGCCTCGTTCTGCAGTTCACGAACCCTCCTTGGATGCCCGTGAATGCACCAACATCAGACAGTAAGTTTCTACAAGTTGCTTTCAAAAGCTATTTTTAATTGCATTTTAGTTATACTTTTTCAGGTCTGTCTCAGCCATGAGCCTCAGCTCCACCACTTTGGAAGTTCAGGTTTCAGCGAAGGGCAGGTCCAGAGCACTATTTTCACAAGATGTTTCTGATTCTAAATTGATGATGTTGATGATGATGATGATGAGTGTAACACGGATATCAAGGGAGTTAACTTTTCAACTTTTGTTTCAAAGTATCTCCGAAAGGTAAGCTAGATGTGAAATAAAAACTGATGGATCCTAAGCCCCAAAGCAGTAGCAGCAGCGGAAATAAAGCTCCATCCGTTTTCTTTTGTTCACTAACAGATTTTGATAAATCCCTCTATACCAGTCACACATATTTGGGATGGTTCCATGACAACCTTTCATTACAGCAAAAAGGATACAAACTCATAGAATAATTTAGGCTTTCAAGGAGCCCTTAAAATGTTTATCAACGTTAAAAAATGTTGTTTCTAAGGATATGACTTTTGTTTAATGTAATATTTAGTAATTCTTCAATTTAGGGCTCTGTGCTTTATGGATAATTTGAAGACCTACCATAGTCACGCAGACATTGTGTTCTTGACGTCCTCCAAGCTCTCATGGAGAATCTGTTTTTCCCGTAGGTTGTGCATCTCTGGCTCTCAAATACTCCCAGTAACGCTTGCAGCCCCGGCCCTGCCAGGTCCCTACTGCACAGGGGTGGCCGACCTACCGGCATGTTCATCCTTGCAAGAAGAGGTCTATGATGTGGATGGACAGATTGAAGAGTATTTTGCTTTCGACAGAAAGGAAGAGTGAATAGAATTTTATTTGCTATTGACTTAATAGTTTAATAATATTAATGTATTTGGTATTTATTTTGGTTACATGTCCAGTTAGTGTTTTGTGTATATTTCACTTATCCAGAAGGTTTTCCACCCTTTGGAGAGTAATGTGTTCTCAACAGTCTGAAGGTTTCCCAGCAGAAAATGTTGGTGCTAGAGGAGTTGTTTCCCTTTCTTTCTGACAACACGGCACAGATGGAAAGTAAGAATTGTGCTGGTGAACGCGGACCGGCCACCAGTGGACCTGGTGTCCAGGAGCTCCTGGTGCCTGACACCTGGCAGCCCAGGGGGCAAAGGGGACAGTCCGGTCTCTGCACTAAAGGCGTATTTGGTTCTTAGACAAAAGTTACAAATGTTATAGAATAAAAACTTGCATTGTGATGGAAAACTGGTACAGTAAAAATATGACAGTGTGTTTTAAAAAGAATGTATGTTTGTTTATATGTATATAATGTGCACTATGTACGCACGTTAGATGGGTGGCATTGTTTACCTGTAACCATTGCTTCTTTTAGTAATACGAATGGGTTTTGTTCTTAGTGACGATGAACACCTTGACCAGAAATCAGCTCACCATCGCAGGACACGGCGTCACCAGGGACTTCCTCCTGTGTCCCCCCACGACTGCATCAAAGACGCCGTGGCTGCAGCCGTATTCGATCACATCTGGGCAAGCGCGGTAGAGATATTGGAAGAGCTGATTAGGAAAAACTGGGAAACGACACTCACAGGTACTTATTTATAGAACTTGGTCTAATGAAAAGGAAAAAAAGGCCTTGTTTCTCCGCATCCCCCCCCCCCCTCGCCCCCGCCTGACATACCTAGGGCACGATCAGGGTGGGAAGGAAATGGATTTTCTGCCGTTATTCACAAGTTCTTTTTGAGTTGTAAAAATAATATGTGTGTACTCTGAAAAAAAATCCACAGAATACACAAGAAAGAAGCTAGAGGTCATATTTTAAAAAATGTATTGTGGTGGAAAAACAAAACCAAACCTTACCTACTAATCTCTGATAATGGGACATTGGTTTTTAATTATGACATTATTTGTAAAGTAAAATGTAAACATCAATAGTGTGATAATCACTTTATTTAATCTTATACAGTGTTTTCTGAAGAACTTGAAATTGAGCAGAAGCAAATTATAGGAATGTTCGTGGTGGGACTAGTGTTAGGTAATCAATTTGTACAGCAGGTAATAGTCATGCTAATTTAAATATTATTATTTTCCAACCAAGGGGATTAGTTCAGGTATTATAAAATACCAAGAATCTTTCTTGCTTCACTACATAATCCCTCTTTTATTGCCTAACACTGAAACGGTAGGCATTTCATTATTGCTCTCGGGAAAGGGCTGTGTCAGCCAGTTGCTCTGTGAGGCCTCTGCTCTCTATAGCAAGGTTAGAGGCCACAGCAGGCTCACAGCAACTCAAAAACAAGGATTTTCGTTGAACAGTGAATTTTTTTTTAATTTTTTTTCTTTATTGATTTTAGAGAGAGAGGAAAGGAGAAGGAGAGAGAGATAGAAACATCGAGGAGAGAGAACATCGATTGGCTGCCTCCTGCATGCCCCCCACAACCATCTGGCCCACAACCTGGGCATGTGCCCTGACCAGGAATCAAACCGGTGACCTCTGGGTGCATGGGTTGATGTTCAGCCACTGAGCCACACTGGCTGGGCAGACAGTGAATTTTAAGTGCATATATTAGATAACATGTTTCTTAATAATATTGTATTTTCTGTTGACACAGGAAGAAAACAACAGAAAGAAAGAGCGAAAGTAGCTGAGACTAAGTCTCCACATGTTCTCATGTCCCGTGTTAACACCGATCTGTCCAGTGTTCCCCCATCGAGAAGTTCAGAAACTCGAAACATCTCCCTGGCTTCTCATTTTAATTCCCCCCAGGTAATGCTTTTCCCAGTCTCTCTCTCTCTCCTTCAGTTCTTATATCTTTGGCTTCGGTTTGTCAAGATTGCTCTACGATTACATTTTGTTAAGGTATTTAGGTCTGTTTGCCAGTAAGACTAATATTTAAAAGGAATTATTTCGTGGAGTTGAATAGAATCACCATGTTCTTTAACAGAGTGGGGACACTCCGGTTTGAAGCTTCCTGTCAGCTTGGAGCTGTTTTCGTATTTTTGAAAAGAAAAAAAGTTCCCCTCAACGTTTCTAGCCATCCTGCAGGTTACACGTGTTTTCTCCTCCCATTGAAGTGGTAAAAGGATCAGTCAATGAGTATACATTAGGTTCATTCAACATGTCTTGAGTTTGTATGAAGTGAACTGTTAGGTGTTTGAAGGACATGGAGATGGAGAATGCCTATCCCCTGACCCAGTAAGAAGTATCAGATAAGTCAGATGTAGAACATTCTGTCAACAGTGTGCAAAACAGCTGTTGTGGGAGTAGGAAGTCTGTGTGGGTCGTTTCAGGCCCAGCAAAGGCACAGAGGAATGAAAGACCGGATGTGGGGGCGGGAGCTTAGGAAACGAGGCTTGGACTTTGGGTTGAAGGGACACTGAGCCCATCAGGGCCACTGTGGCTGGTCCAGCGCATTTGGAATGCAGAGAACTATAAGAGGAATTATTTTGGACATGTTGATTTAACTTCTCTAACCTTTAGTTTCCTTATCTACAGAAGGAGGATAATAATATGTTGTCCAAGGGATTGTGATCATGTAAATATGTGAGAGTTACTAACACAGAACCTGGTAATTAACTCAGAAAGAGTGTTTTTGAATTGTGTTCTTACTCAAAGACCTAGTGGCACGCAAAGCTCGTTCATGGGAGACCTTCAGTGGTGCCAAGGAGCTGGGACCTGATGTTTCGCAAGGCCCGTCATTTGTAGCAGAGCAGAGGGCTAAGAGGGGGCTCCCGGTCTCACAGCTCACGTCGTTTAGTTGGAGGGAGCACAGTCACGCCAAACAATCTGCACACACATGCACACACACAAGATGAGGCAATCTCGTAGACGGATTGAGACGGGAGCTCGAGCTTTGGGTGGAGACTACAAGTTTGGAGCCGGACATCATGATTAATTAGCTTTGTGATCTTTAATCAGTCCCTTTCTCTCAAAACCTGTTTCATTATCTGTGGGATTTATGAGGCAGGAACCTGTAAAAATGAAAGGAGACAAGATGTTGTGTGGCATAGAGCAGGCACTCAATAAGTGTTAGTTTTACTATGACAATTAGATGCTAGTTATACATCATATCATATTATATAATATATTGTGTTACATTATATTATAATAATTAGATGTCCTTTAGCTCCTAAATGATGTAGGGCTCAAAGGCAAAACAGCTTACCCTTCACAAAGTAGAGTAAGACCTTAACCAAGTCTTAAACAATAGGCAAGATCTGGTGAGCTGAAAAAGAAAGAGGGGCTAGCAGAGGCAGAAGCATGCTCCCGGCAGATCACAGGGTCTTCGTAAGGTTGAAAGGACTCGGGTTTGACCGGGGCCTGCAGTTCCGCGAGCAGTGGTTTGAAACAGAAATATCGAATAGGATCGCTTTACTCTCCAGTGTAAAGGCTTTACAGTGTGTCTTCTTCGTTTTTGCTGTTCAAAACAAACTTTGGGAATTGTTACTGGCTTGTTGTCGTTTTTGGTCTCTTGAAACTACCCTGATGAGTTCAACAGTATTTCCCACTTTACATATTAAAATATGCAGTACAGCCCAGCTGGTGTGGCTCAGTGGACTGAGTGTTGTCCCAGGGACTGAGAAGTCCCAGTTCGATTCCCAGTCAGGACACATGCCCAGGCTGCAGGCTCCATCACCAGTGGGGGGAGGGCAGGAGGCAGCCGATGAATGTTTCTCTCTCACATCAATGTTTCTATCTCTCTCTCCCTTTCTCTTTCTCAAAAAAAAAAAAAAATCTATGAAAATGTACTTTAAAAATAATACGCAGTGCGAATTGCATAAAAAGGAACATAGGCAGAACTGCTAAATATCAGGCAACATAAATAAACTTGAGAAATAGGAAATTTCAAAAATGTTCCTATTTCTCAAGTTTATTTATGTTGCTTGATATCTAAGCAGTTTTGTTTACAGATATTTTATGGTTTTGTAGCCTTTATGGTTTTAAAAGAATGTTTTCTAGATCTGTTTTGAGGTTTTCTTTTGGATAAATGCCAAAAGGAAATTAACGGACAACACAGTTAAAAGTCAAAATAAATACTAATAGAACGTATTTTGAAATAGTAAAAGCATTCTGGTGGTAATTACAATAGGTCTTAGTTTGTTCCTCTAACATTTCTTTTTAGATTTATTCAACATGAGGAAAATGTGACTGTGGTTGTTATGTCTATTCCTGAACTAGACTAGAATTCTAGTTTCAGATATTTTGTTTCTCTAGATCTAAATATTATTTTGGCCCTGGCTGGTTTGGCTTAGCAGTTAGAGCATCAGCCAACAGACCAAAAGTCCTGGCTTTGATTCCGGTCAAGGGCGGTACAGTCCCAGGCCCTGGTCACGGCCATGCAGGAGGCAACCAATCGATGTGTCTCTCTCACCTAGATGTTTCTCTCTCTTTCTCTTCCCCTCCCACTCTATCTGAAGATAAATGGAAACTCTCAGGCGAGGATTAAAGATAATTTTGAATCCTTGTTGGACATATCAAGGGATTGAATGAAGAACTGATAATTGAGCCGTCATGTTATGCTTTCACCATTGTTGTCCAATTTAATTCCCATAATAATTCTCTGAAGTAGGTGTCATTATTCCCAACTTAAAAATGAGGAACTTGAAACGCCAAAGTCTCTTCCCAAGATCACCAACCAGGAAGCAGTTAGAACTGGGTTCAGACTGAGGCCTCAGTGCTTCTATTTTCCCTGGCTTTGCTGCTGCTCCTGAGAAGCTAAGGGGGACGCTGTGAGCGACAGGGAAGGAGAGGTCCCGGGCAAGCTGACTGGTGAGGAGCTGGGGACCTTTGCTCTGCTTCTCCACGTCCACTATTTCTTCTCACCCTGGGTTACCCTGGCTGCATTAGCTAGCTCTCTTGTCCAGCAGCTATTGAGAGCTGAGCTAATGAGACCTGATTTTGCCTCTCCCCTGACTGCCAGGTCCCAGCGTGTGGGTGGCATTTCTTCATGCATCTCCAGGCCCGAGTGTGGGCGTGTGTCCCCACAGGACTTGGGAAATAAAGCTGTTCATTATTAATTAGATCCTTTGTCAAGTCCTCCTCAGATTAGCCAGGCTGAGCGTGCCATTGTTGCTGGGGCATTCTCGACAGGCGTTTGCGACAGCAATGGCACTGAGTGTTTGCTTGTGAACTTGCCCTGTTTTTACTTTTCTCAGATTCATCGCTTCTCCAACAATTTTTATAGTGATTTAAACGGTGTGATGACAATTCAAGCAAAACCACTTCAGCAGAGACCTACGTATTTTGCAGATAGGACACAGTACGTATAAGAAATAATCCCCCCGTCTCCTCCCTGTGCTGGTTACACGTGAGCACCAAGACTATGGAGGGCACCAGAGGATGAGAATCACCCTCGGGCAGGACCAGCCAATGTGTGAGAATAGAAACATCCATTCAGATAGCCACCGCGAAGGATTACTGGGAGGTGGGGGCAGGGAAGGAAAAGGCACTGCCGCTGTGAATTCTTCATCTGATGAGCTACACCATGTGTTCATAAACAGTAGGAAACTGGGATCTTGTTTCCCTGTCAATGATTCTTCATTGAAATGGCAACTGAGTCGGAAATGATAATCTGTATATTTTTTTCACCAAACTGTTAGGAGTATCTTCTATGAGCCAGGCACTGTTCTGGACAGTGTCTGGTTTGGGGCAAATGTCCCCTGTTCCCGCAGAGCTCATGTCTGTGTAATTAACTTGATGTCCTTCCCTAGGAATGAACAGGAGGACCAGTCGCTGAGTGCGGGGGCCAGCGCGATTTCTGCAGCGCGCTCCCGTCTGGGACGGATCCCAGACACCCCCGGACTGCACACTCCTACGAAGAGAACACAGGCGCACAGGAGGCTGCCCTCTCTTACTTCGGATGCACAGAGAATGAAAACCCCCAGTGTAGACAGCAATGAGGTTCTCAGGGGAACAAAACTGTGAGTCTTGTTTTTCTCATGGTAAATAAAAGATCAGCAAGTGAACTAGACTACTTAACTTAAGTAACTCTATTCTGACCAGCAGTTGCTACGCATACACACCCTGACTCATTTCAATACCATGGCCTTAGGGAACAGAACCTTAATAATAAAGAGATGAATGATTACCTTGGGAAACCCAGAAAAATCATAAAAATAAAGAGATTAATGATTGCCCTGACCTTTGTAACAGCTCCGCATGCCCCCTATCTGTATCAGTTTCCCCTTAATGACGCCAAGGCGGCATCGAGAGGATGTGGTTTTAGTCTTTATAAACGAACTGCAAGAATGTTTGGGGCTGTTGATTTGGGAAACTATGCCCCCACAGCCCGCCGGTGAATAAAGTGCTCCTCTCACTTACAATTCGGCCGTGCGTCTCTGATAGTCTCGCTGGCTCGTCATAGCACAAGGACAGAGACCCTTCTCACTTAGGGCCCGTGGATTATTACAGACAAAACATGCTCTATCAGATTTCTGCGGACACTTTTCGAAGTACTTTATGCATTTGAATATTAACATACATTGAAAATTTAACATATGAGTATTTCACATGCATTTTATTTCAGCAGTTTACTCCACTGTGTATATAACTTATCAGCACCCCCACTGTGCTGTCTCACTTTGGAGTCACCGCCTGGGCCTCCACGCACAGGCTTTCTGCAGCAAGGGAGGAGTTTACTAAGCTCCCCTGCAAGGGAGGGAGGCAGAAGCACCTGCCACTGCTTAACCAGTAACTGGACGCCTTCCTGATGCGTTCCATAGCACCACTCTCAGCTTTTTGATAGGTCAGTGTTCCTTTCACAATTTGGAACTGAAATCTCCAGCTTTATGTGGGTCTGCCCTGTCAATTCTTTCAAGATCTTTCTCCCTCTGCCATTCTCACCGTGAATGCCTGGGACCCATTCTTCATCCATTCTCATGTCAGAAGCCCACTACGGGTTCTCTCTCCTTCCTCCCAGCCTACCTGGGCTCCACTCTCAAAACCTTTTCTATTTCCTACTGAAATGAATTTGGACATCCCCACCATCCAGTCCCTTTTTGTTCTGGCTCCTCCCTTTCTGCAGACACGTTTTCCAGTATTTTTTTTATCATGGCCATGCTCAGGGGCCCTTTTACACTCTGTCCTAACTCCTCCCCGACCTGTGGACTTTTAATATCCCACAAGTATACTCTACAGTTTTTGTACTTTTTTATGCATTACAAGAGTAAGATTATTTTTTGGTCCCACCAAGAACCAGTGTTTGTCCGTCGGGGCCAATAGCACAGTCTTTGATTATGCATACCTGTTTCCCATTACTTCTCATCACCCACCTTGATTCTGGTCAGCCTTGTCTTCTCTCCGACCCACAGACACACCAGCTGTGCATAGTCTCACTTCCATGGTATTTCTCACGCTCTGTCATCACTTTGATTGTAATAACATTTTTTTCCTAATTATCAACGTAATAAAAGTTCAATGTGGAATATTAGGACAATGCCAAAAATATGAGTAGAAATCAAAGATCACCTGTATTCTCAACACGCAGAAATATAAAAATGACAACTCTTGGTAGATTTCCTGCCAATTTTGTCTGTAGCTACATTTCTTCATTTCTTTTCTTTCCATGACCTTTTTTTCTATTTATTTATTTATTCGTTTTTAATTTTATTTTTGTTACAGATGTTTCTTCTTTTTTACTCCGTTGACACCCTCCTCCCCATCCTCCCCGCCCCATCCCCGGCTTTGTTGTTCATGTCCATTAGTTATACATACATGCATATAAGTTCTGTGATTTATCTCTTCCCTTCCCCGACCACCCCCTCTTCTGAGGGTTGTCAGTCTATACCAAACTTCCATGTTTCTGGGTCTACCCTATTCCTCATACTGTTATGTTCATTATATTCCATAAATAAGTGAGAATATGTAGTATTTGTCTTTTTCTGCTTGGCTTGTTTCACTTAGGATAATGCTTTCCAGGTCCCTCCATGTTATCTCAAAGGATAAGAGATCTTTCTTTCTTACAGCTGCATAGTACTCCATTGTGTATATGTACCACAGCTTTTTATCCACTCGTTACTGATGGACACTTGGGCTCTTTCCAGATCTTGGCTATTGTAAATAGTGCTGCTACGAACATGGGGGTACATGTACTCTTTCTGATTGGTGTTTCAGGCTTCTTAGAGTATATTCCTAGAAATGGGATCACTGGGTCAGATGGAAGTTCAATTTTTAATTTTTTGAGGTAACACCATATTGTTTTCCAAAGTGGCTGCATCAGTCTGCATTCCCACCAGCAGTGTACTAGAGTCCCCTTTTCTCCATACCCTCGCCAACACTTGTTGTTTGATGATTTGTTGTTGATGGCAGCCATTCTGACAGGTGTGAGGTGATACCTCATTGTTGTTTTAATTTGCATCTCTCTGATGATTAGTGATGTTGAGATTTTCTTCATATGTCTCTTGGCTGTTTGTATGCCCTGTTTGGAGAGGTGTCTATTCAGCTCCTCTGCCCATTTTTTAATTGGGTTCTTTGTCTTCCTTTTGTTGAGTTGTATGAGTACTCTATATATTTTGGAAATTAAAATATCTGATGTATCATTGGCAATGATGTTCTCCCATACAGTGGGTTGCCTTTTCACTTTGATGGTTGCTTCTTTTGCTGTGCAGAAGCTTTTGTTTGATGTAGTCCCATGTGTTCATTTTCTCCTTTGTTTCTGTTGCCTTAGGTGTTGTATCAGTGAAAATTCTGCTGTGTATGATATCTGAAATTTTGTTGCCTACAGTTTCTTCTAGGATTTTTATGGATTCCTGAGTCACATTTAAGTCTTTTATCCATTTTAAGTTTATTTTTGTGTATAGTATAAGTTGACAGTCTGGTTTCATTTTTTTGCATGTACCTGTCCAATATTCCCAACACCGTTTATGAAAGAGGCTGTCTTTACTCCACTGTATGTTCTTGCCACCTTTATCAAATTTTAATTGAGCATATTGCCTTGGGTCCATTTCTGGGTTCTCTATTTTGTTCCACTGGTCTATATGCCTGTTCTTGTGCCAGAACCAGGCTGTTTTGATTAAAGTCGCTTTGTAGTATAACCTGTTATCTGGTATTGTGATCCCACCTATTTTGTCCTTCTTTTTCAAGATTGCTGTGGCTATTCTGGGTCTTTTTTGGTTCGATATGAACTTTTGAAGTATTTGTTCTAGTTCTGTGAAGTATGTCGTTGGTATCTTGATGGGGATTGCATTGAATCAATAGATTGCTTTGGGTAATATGGACCTATTAATGATGTCAGTTCTTCTAATCCATGAACAAGGTATGTGCTTCCACTTTTTTACATCTTCCTCTATTTCTTTTTTCAATGACCTGTAGTTTTCTGTGAATAGGTCCTTTACTTCTTTGGTTAAGTTTATTCCTGGTTATCTTACTTTCTTTGCTTTGATGGTAAATGGAATTGTTTTCTTAGTTTCTCTTTCTGTGAGTTCATCATTGGTATATAAGAATGCCGTCGATTTCTTGACATTAATTTTGTATCCTGCTACTTTGCCAAATTCATTTTTTAAGTCTAGTAGACTTTTGATGGAGTCTTTAGGGTTTTCTATGTATAATATCATGTCATCTGCAAATAATGGCAGTTTCACTTCCTCCTTTCCAATTTGGATCCCTTTTATTATTTCTTCCTGTCTGATTGCTGTGGCTAAGACTTCCAGTACTATGTTAAATAAGAGTGGCAAAAATGGGCATCCCTATCTTGTTCCTGTTCTTAAGAGAAATGTTTTTAGTTTTTGCCCATTGAGTATGATGTTGGCTGTAGGTCTTTATTATGGCCTTTATTATGGCCATATATGGCCTTTATTATGTCTAGATATGATCCCTCTATTCCCACATTGCTGAGCATTTTCATCAGAAGTGGATGCTGGATTTTGTCAAAGGATTTTTCAGCATCTATTGATATGATAATGTGGTTTTTATTCTTCATTTTATTTATGTAGTGTATCACATTTATTGATTTGCCAATACTGTACCAGCCTTGCATCCCTGGGGTGAATCACACTTGGTCATGGTGAATAATTTTTTTGATGTATTGCTGGATCCGATTTGCTAGTATTTTGTTGAGGATTGTGGCATCTATATTAATCAGGGATATTGGCCTGTAGTTTTCTTTCTTTGTAGTGTCTTTTTCTGGCTTTGGAATTAGAATTATGCTGGCCTCATAAAACGAGTTTGGAAGTCTTTTTTCTTCTTGAATTTTTTGAAATAGTTTGAGGAGAATTGGTGTTAGTTCTTTTTTGAATGTTTGGTAAAACTCCCCCGTGAAGCCATCGGGGCCTGGGCTTTTGTTTGCTGGGAGGGTCTTTGTTTCTTGGTGAGTCTAGCTAAGTATCCATCAATCTTGTTTATCTTGTCGACAAACCAGCTCTTTGTTTCATTGATCCTTTAAATTGTTTCTTTGGCCTCTGTGTCATTTATTTCTGCTCTGATCTTTACTATTTCCTTCCTTCTACTTGCTCTCGGGTTTCCTTTTCTAATTCTTTAAATTGTGAGTTTAGACAGTCAATTAGAAATTTTTCTTGTTTCTTGAGGTAGGCCTGTAGTGCTTTGAACTTCCCTCTCAGAACTGCTTTTGCGGCATCCCATAGATTTTGTGTCGTTGTGTGTTCCTGGTTTCCAGGAAGTTTTTAATTTCTTCCATGATCACCATGGTAACCCATTATTGTTTAATAACATGCTATTTAGCCTGTATGTATTAAAATGTCTTTGCATGTTCTTGTTGCAATTGAGTTCTAGTTTCATGCCATTGTGATCTGAGAAGATGCTTCATATGATTTCAATCTTCTTGAACTTGTAGAGATTTAGTTTGTGTCCTATCATGTGGTCTATCTTTGAGAATGTCCCATGTGCCCTTGAGAAGAATGTGTATTCTGTCGTTTTGGGGTGTAATTCTCTGTAGATATCTATTAAATCCATTTGGTCTAGTGCTTCATTTAGATTCTCTGTTTCCTTGCTAATTTTTTGTCTAGAGAATCTATCCAATGATGTCAACGAGGTGTTGAAGTCCCCTGCTATGATTGTGTTACTGTCAATTTCTCCTCTGAAGTCCTCCAGAAGATTTTTTAATATATTTTGGTGCTCCTATATTGGGTGCAGATATGTTTATCAAGGTTATATTTTCCTGTTGGATAGATCCTTTCAATATTATGTAGTGGCCTTCTTTGTCTCTAGTTATGACCTTCATTTTGAAATCTATTTTATCAGATGAGTATTGCTACCCCAGCTTCTTTTTCCTTTCCATTTGCTTGGAAGATTTTTTTCTATCCCTTCACTTTCAACCTATGTGAGTCTTTTGTTGTGAGGTGGGTCTCTTGTAAACAACATATAGATGAGTCATGCTTTTTTATTCAATCAGCTACTCTGTGTCTTTTTATCAGAGCATTCAGTCCATTTGCATTTAAGGTGATTATTGATATGTACTTATTTATTGCCATTTTTGTTTAGTTTGGTTATATTTTTCTTCCTATTTCTTCTACTAATTACAGCAGTCCTTTTAACATTTCTTGCAGTGCTGGTTTAATGTTAATGTATTCCCTTAGCCTTTTTTTTTTGGTCTGGGAAGCTCTTTATTTGACCTTCTATTTTGAAAGACAGCCTTGCTGGGTAGAGTAGTCTTGGATTCAGGTCCTTGATTACTTTATTCCATTTCTTTGTGGCCTGTAGTGTTTCTTGTGAGAAGTCAGCTGAGAACCTTATGGGTGTTCCTGTGTAGGTAACTTGTTGCTTATCTCTTGCTGCTTTTAGGATTCTCTCTTTGTCTTTAATTTTTGGCATTTTAATTATTATGTGTCTTGGTGTGTGCCTGTTTGGGTTCTTCTTAATTGGGGCTCTCTGTGCTTTTGAACTTGAATGCCTTCTTCCTTCACCAAATTAGGGAAGTTTTCTCTCACTATTTTTTTGAATATATTCTCTAACCCTTGCTCATTTTCTTCTTCTTCAGGGACTCCTATGATGCGAATATTATTACGTTTCCAGTTGTCCCACAGTTCTTTTAAGCTGTCTCCTATTTTTTAATCATTTTTTTCCTTTGGTTTTCTGATTGGTTGATTTTTTCTACCCTGTCTTCTAATTCACTGATCTGGTCCTCATCTTCCTCTACTCTGCTGTTTAAACCTTCCAATGTGTTTTTTATTTCTGCTGTATCATTCTTCGTTTCTTCTTGGTGGTTTTTAATTTCCAGTTGCTTGATTTTCAACATCTCTATGTCCTTACTCATGCTGTTGAGCTTCCTCAATTCCTCAAGATCATGCCTCTGAATCTAGCTCTGTTAATTTGCCTAAGTGCTCCACATTTATCTCATCTTTGGTAGAGGTCTCTTGTTCTTTCATTTGACTTTTGTTTCTGTGTTTTACCATTTTGGCTATCACAGTGGGCTTTGGAGCCTGTCAAATTTTCCCTGTGGGTGTTGGTGTTCTGCTGTTTGTGGCTCCCTCTCCTGGATTTGGATGCGCGTGGGAGGACCCACATTAAACACCACTGTCAAGTCTTACTTTCCTGGTTACAGTTGCTAGCCCAGGAATGGTACAGTTATCCTCTAGCTTTTTGCCTGGAGGCTATCAGTAGCAGTTACTTGAAGAGTTTTGTGTTGTCAGTTGAATGAAATCCCCCTCAGGTGCTCAGCATAAGGGGATTTTCTGAGGGTGGGGCAGATGCTGGTTGTTAGTTAGCCTCAATTTGCATTTCAATTGCCCACCTGAATGGGGTTGAATCTCCGAGGGAGGGGCCGCTGTCTCTCTCCAGAGCCCTGGGAAGGAGCAATATGGCCACTGTACTGCGTGGCTACAATTCAGCAAAAGCTCTGAACCCCCTCCAAATCCCGAGTGTCCCCACACAGTTCCAGTCCAGTCCGCCCTCCCTCTGCCCGAGCCCAAGGTGAGTGGCTGTGGTTATTTTAGCGTCTGTCCCAGCTCTGCGCTGTGGAACCGCTGGGGTGTTTAACCTGAGGGTGCTGCTCACAGCTAAGTCCACTGCTGTCTGTGGGCTCCCAGCCCCTCTCTCGCGCCTCGGCAATCCTACCAGTATCGAGTCAGTGTCCCTGGTTATATGATCCTCACAAGCTGCTTTTCTGTTGCTTTTTCCCATCGATTTGTCTGTGTTTTAGTTGTAATTCCAGTTTGGTCCTGGGAGATGGTCTGTGTCGCTTCCATTCACTCCGCTGCCATTTTTTCCTATCATTATCTTTTTTTCTAATACTAAATTATCTTACTATTGTAGAATGTGGCACTCTTTTATATACTGTTTTACTTGACAGTATTCATATTTTCTATACTAGTAGATATTTTTTGAAAGCATGATTTAAATGACTAAAATATAATCATGTGGGTATGTGATAATGTATTATTTTTTTATTATCAAGACTTTTTGTCTATATTTCCTTTTTTTTTTTTTCCTTAATTGATTTTAGAGAGAGAGGAAGGGAGAGGGAGAGAGATAGAAACACTGATGAGAGAGAACATTGATGGCCTCCTCCTGCATGCTCCCTACTGGGGATTGGGCCCACAACCTGGGCATGTGCCATGACCAGGAATTGAACTGGCGACCCTTGGTGCATGGGTCAGAGCTCAACCACTGAGCCATACCAGCCGGGCTATTTTCCATTATTTTAATGTGCAGTAAATATCATTTTATGTAAATCTAAGTAAGGATGTGTTCAAATTGCTTCCTGGTGCTACAGTCCTAGAACTAACGCTACCAGATTAAAGGTTATGGATATGTTTAAGACCCTTCAACATTTTTTCAAAGTTCGTCCCAGAAGGGTTCTACCAATTTATAGCCTCATTGATAATACACAAGTCCATCTTTTTTCCTTCAGCTGCAAACTTCAAGTTGTATGTGCATTTTAAAACTTGATAGGTCAACAAATGGTCCTTTTTAATGTTCATAACTTCATTATTAATGAATAAATTAATTAAAATTTGTTTCTAGAATATCTCTCTGTAGTTTTGAGCATGGACCAGACAATTGAATTTTTCAATGTTAACATCTGGTAGGGAAAGTCTCCTATCATCATTACTTTCTTTTAAATTAAAATTTACTCACCTATCCTGACAAATAAACTATACAATCTGGTCCCCAATTGTCTTTTAAACCATCACAATGGACCTCGTAGTATTAAATTTTGAAAATGTAGGAATAACTGACGTTTTCACGATATTACATTTTCCCATGAAAGAACATATTTGTGTCTCCTTTTTTGACCATACATAAAAGTTTTACAGCTTTCTGAATCCAGGCCCTGCACATTTATAATTAATTTTTTCTTTCGATGATCACTCTATTCCCTAAATTTCTACCGTGCTTTATATTCAGAACCATATACCACAGCATGTTGTTATAAACCCCATTGCATTGTACTCTAATTCCTTTATGTGTTTTCAGTAATTTATAAACTCCTTAAAGGTTAGAACTAGATGTTCGATTACCTCTCTGCTCTGCACCATGGCTAGCATAACTGGGCACTCAAGGAATACAGGTTGACAGCTATTGCTGAGCAAGAAGGTGACCAGAGCTGGTGGCCAGTCCCCTCCCCACATCTGTCTTCCTGAAACTCAGCTCATTTCTCTGGGAAGGCAGACCGTGATGAAGAGCTCAGGTCTGTCCTCTGTCTCTGCACCTGGGTGCTCAGTCCCCTGTTGTGTTTGCAGGCAAACTGGCATCGACCACGTGACCGCCCCACCAGCCCAGGCTTCCCGGGGCAGGCTGCCCCCCATAGGCTCCGAGCCTGCTGAGCAGAACGTGGCATTTCCCGGACCTCGCCCTGTTTCTGTAAGATAGATTTCATTATATTTAAGTGCACCATTTAGATGGTCAATGAGAAAACAAAGAACATGCAATCTTGCTACTTTGAAATGAAATCATTAACGTAAAACGTCTCCATAATCTGCTTCCTGGAAGTGAGTGGCTTGTGAGAATTTACAGGGGGTGGGAGGGTTAATTCACTGTTTCGTGAACTAAACATGGCTTGAAGTAAATCAAAGTTCAGGTGTCCAGGAAATAGCTAATGGTCAGGACGGTGTGTTGAAGAAAATGGCATGAAGCTGAGGTCAGGAGACAGGCAGATCTGTGTTTGAATCTGGCCCCACAAACTCTATGACTGGGTACAAATGAATCTCCCTGAGCCTCTATGAAATAATTTTATCATCTATGAAAGGGCAATCATGATTCCTACCTCAAAGAAGTGCTATAAGAATTAAATGAATGTAAGAGGTCAGATAATGACTGGCACAGATAAAGAGCTCAGTCAAGTTCCCTGCCATTTCTATCAGCTCTCGTTTTTTTTTGTTGTTGTTTTTTTTTCCCCCACAGTTGCCTTTACCGTATTTACTGTAATGTGGAGGCAATATCTTCTCACCCAAGCCCAACCCAGCCATACAATCCCATAAGGTCTGGGGAAGCTGTGCTGCCGGGGATGTGCATAACCGGATTTTCTAATGCCATGCACTTTGCTCTGATACAAGGAGCTTGTGTCTGTTTTATAAAACACAGAAGGACCCTGGCTTAGAGATAACAGCTTAGAGAACAAACAATGAGGAGGCGACATTTTCTCTTGCATTTCCTGCTTCCTTGAGCACAGCTGTAGAGCCCATTCCCAGGAGGCCAGAGTGGCGGAGCTTCAATGTTCAATCTTAGAATATTGAGGGTGAGAATGAAATCATGTGAGAAGGCAAATATCACCTTTAAAAAAGTCTGATGCTTCACAGATGCAGAATTAAATTTTTATTGTAACTTAATGTTAAGAATTTGATGTGGTTATGGTTTTTAATTCCTATTTACTTATTAGGACAATACCATTTTATCAGGCTAAATAATACAATTGCATAATTAAAAGATATCTTGTTATTTATGCTTAGTAGACCTTATACTTAGCAATACATAAATTAGTTTTCAAATAAGCAAGTGAATGAATGACTAAATGAGTGAGTGAGCATATCTAGACTTCTTTGTTGTTATTTTTTAAGGATTCAATTTCATTTAAACAAGAACATTGTGTCTTTCACTCAGTACAGAGGAAGGCATGCCCAAAACCGTGTGTCAAGTACAATACCTGATAGTGTTGAACGATCGCCTCTTCGAGAAAGATCCCTAACCCTGGAACAGTTTTCAAGGCCCAGCACCACCCATACATTCCGGGTAGGTTCTCTGCTAACCGTGCTTTCTTTTTTTTTTTATTAAATTTTTTTGGGTAACATTGGCTGATAGGATCATACAGGTTTCAAAAGTACATCTCCATGGAAGAGAGAGAACAAGACATCGAAAACCTGTTTAAAACAATAATGGCAGAAAACTTTCCTAACTTGGTGAAGGAAACAGACATACAAGTCCAGGAAGCACAGAGAGTCCCAAACAAGATGAACCCCAAGAGGCCCACACCAAGACACATCATCATCAAAATGCAAAAGGTTCAAGACAAAGAGAGAATCTTAAAAGCAGCAAGAGAAAGGCAGCTAGTTACCTACAAGGGAGTTCCCATTAGGCTGTCAGCTGATTTCTCAAAAGAAACTTTGCAGGTCCGAAGGGAGTGGCAAGAAATATTCAGAGTGATGAAAACCAAGAACCTACAACCAAAATTACTCTATCCTGCAAAGCTGTCATTTAGAATCGATGGACAAATAAAAACTTTCCCAGACAAGAAAAAGTTAAAGGAGTTCATCACTACCAAACTGTTATTATATGAAATGATGAAGGGTCTTTTTAAAGAAAAAGATAAAATGTATGAACAAACAAAATGGCAATGAATACATATCTATCAACAATGGAATCTACAAACAAACTGAACAGGAAGAACAGGAACATTCTCATAGATACAGAGAACATTTTGTTGGTTGCCAGTTGGGAGGGGGTTGGGGGAATGGGCGAAAAAGGTGAAGGGATTAAGAAGCACAAATTCATTGCTAGACTGACAAACCTCAAAGGGAAAGGGGTTGGGGGGGGGTGGGAAGAGATAAACCAAAGAACTTATATGCATAACCAATGGACACGGACAATAGTTTGGGAAAAGGTGGGAGGGGGGCGGGAGTGGGGAGGAGGGGGTCAATGGGGGAAAAATGTGGAACATCTGTAATACATTTTACATCCAACAATAAAGATGTGAAAAAAAAACAAAAAAACAAAAGTACATCTCCATGATAAATTATCTGTATACTATATGCCCTGGCCAGTGTGGCTCAGTTGGTTGGGTGTTGTCCCGTAGATTGTCAGTTCTATCCCCAGTCAGGGCACGTGCCCAGGTTGTGGGCTCGATCCTCAGTAGGGGGCCTGCAGGAGGCGGCTGACTGATGTTTCTCTCTCTCCTCCTCTCCCTTCCTCTCTCTCTTAAATCAATAAAAACATATTTAAAAAAGATATCCACCCTCAGTAGATGAATGGATAAAGAATGTGTGGTACATATATATCATAAAAAGCAAAGAAATCTTAACCATTTGCAATAACATGGATGGACCTAGAGGGTATTAAGCAAAGTAAAGTAAGTCAATCAGAGAAAGACAAACAGCATAATTGCACTTACATGTGGAATCTAAAGAACAAAATAAACAAACAAAACAGAAACAGACTCATAGATACAGAAAACAGATTGATGGTTGCCAGAGGGGAGGAGGATTGGGAGGCTGGGTGGAGAGGGTGAAGGGATTGAGAAGTACAGATTGGTGTTCCAGAATAGTCGTGGGGATACACAATACAGCACAGGGAATGTAGTCAGTGATATTGTAATGTCTATTTATGGTGCCAGGTGGGTACTGGAAATATCGGGGAAAAGTAAAGTATATGATTGTCTGACCATTATGCTATACACCTGAAACCACGCAAAAGAATATCAGATGTAAAAATATACTTTTGATTAAATGTCAAACAAGGAAAAAAAGTCTCAAACAATAAAACTCATCTTTCATTTTATTTTTCTTCTAACAGTCAGACACGCCTCGAAAAGGTTCATTGACATTGATGGAATTTGCTGGTCATACCTGGACAGGTCAAGGTTCTCTGACAGGTCAGTGCTCTCCATATATAAATAAAATGATGTAATTTATTAAGTTTCAAGTTTTGGAAGAGAGATGGAAGATTACGTACCTTGATAGGATTGTTTTTGACCATGTCAGAGGAAATACCAAGAATTCTTCGTCTATAACCAGACCTTGGAAATCTCTCTAAAGAGCAAATCTGCAAAGATAAGCTATTATTGGTTGGAAAGAGGGAAATGCTTTTAATTAACTCAGACCCTCCTCACCCTCATAACAAAGAAAAAAGCTGTCTTATAAGTCTTATGAGAAGTTAGTGTCTCTTTCAGCTGTAGAGTTTCATGCTTTTCTCCTAAATGAAACCCTAATCTTGGATTCTCTCTGAAGCTCTAGTTATAAAAATGCATAATAAAATTAATACATATATTCTAATGTTTTTAAATGTAAAGTTTTACAGATGAGTGTACTCCTTGAAGAATAAAGTTTCTGAATTCAAGCCAATGAGTTCTAACTTTGAAACTGTGACCAACATTTTTGTTCAAGGAGACCACATGGCATTGTCATGAGATGTTCCACCCTAGCATCAAATGCTTGCTTTCCATCCTGACTCTACCACCTAGGAGCTGAGCAGTCTTTGGGTTGCCTCACCTCTTAGGGCCTCAGTTTCTTCTTTTATAACAGGCTGGATGGATAAAATGAGTATTGGAAATATGTATGGAGTGGACCTAGCTAAATGCCAGACAGACACTGTTTGGTAAAAAATTATGAACATTTGTATTACAGATAATCTGAAATGGAAAGGATAATTTGCTGTTTTAAGGGAAATACTTCACATATTATAATTTTAAAATAAATTTAGCAAAATGTAAGCATCGGGGCAACACAGGTTCATCACCGCTTACATCAACCCTTCTGCGGTTCTGTAGCAGAATGATGTCGAAGATTCTTTAGTCCTTTCGCATTTTTCTCCATTGCTGAATAGCTCTAGGCTGCTGTACCTTTTCATTGTTTGTTTGTTTGTTTTTTTTCTTATACATCCCCCATCAGTATAGCTGTCATCGTCAGCGACAGCAGTTTTGTCTCTAAAAGCCATGCTACCTTATCAGGTATTGCTCTTAACATCATTGCAGACAGTCCAGGGGAAAGGAGACAGGCACATCTGCTCATGAAGACATGATGTCCTAACGCCTGCTCTGCGCCCAGCTGTGTGCTAAGGGCAGAGATGCACCAAGGACGTTTTGGTCGGCGCCTGAAGGAAGATGCAGGCTAGGGGGGAAGCTCGTGAGGGCTGCGGGAGGGGTGGGCAAAGGGGAAGAGAGCCCTCCCCAGGAGGCCTGAGCCACAGGATCAGCAGGAACACCCCGTGGTGTGTGAGAAGGAAAGGAGTGAAGGATGATGAAGGGGATTCTGTGACTGGTGCTGAGAGAGGGAACTCGGGGGCACACCAGAGTGGAGGTTCCAAGACGGAACTGGGGTCTGAATTCGCTTGAACTCTGCCCTCTCAATTTTTCTGCGAATACTAAGTCAGCGGAGTCTCCTCTCAAAGACTTGTGACAATAATTAGTACTGATGGTCGGAGGCCATTTTTTATTTCTATAGTAGTAACTGAGGGTACACTAAAAGAGATGTTTCTCGATTTCTAAGGGTTTATTTTCTTCTCTGACAAGCAAGCCTGTGGTCTCTTTCTTACCTTTGCTTCCAAGTCAAAAAGCATCTAGAGCTATTAACTTATCAATGTATTATTTTTGTGGCTGAAAATAAAGAGAGGAGGTGTTGATGGGGTGTGCCCAATAGTGGGGAGGCAGCTGACTTTGCTTCTACCCCCAGAGCTCGCTACTCAACTTGCTGGCCTTAGGGGTCCACATCTGGGGAGAAAGTCCCTGCAAACCCGCTGGTTCTGGGAGGGCAGACACATGGCCAACTCCTAGGCCTCGTGGGGGAGGGGCGCCTTTCCTTCTTGGCACCCCAAAGGGCAGTTTTTGTATGTGACTGTTTTCTGTTTTGTGTGAAAGAGACATTAAAATATATTTTGTTCTTTTCTAAAAAATATCATGTGCGTGGAGTAGACAAAACAATCCTTTTGAGAACTGGGATTTTTAATATTTTAATGAGAATTACTTTTGATTGATGTTTCAGGCTCTCAGTATCCACCTAAAGCTTTTCAGAGGACAACTTTGACTTTAAGAAAGAGATTCCAGATAGCATCCTGATGTTCCATCCCCAGACGACAGCACTTTACGGGAGCACGCAGCGCCTCAGTACACCACTTACCACCCGAAGAATGGAAGAACAAGTATTATACGATGTGTCTGTTGGTCTGACAGTCTGAGATATTAGACTATCTGAGAAGAATGCAGACAAATAAACAACTTAATTTTCAACACTTTGCATTGTAACCAGAATACAAGTCAAATTCACCAGCCTTCTTTATTGGAAGTATTCCTATATGGATTCTTCAGGCTTTGCTCAGAAGAATCTAATGTGTTTTAAAATCCATCCTTTGATCAATTATACACACACACACACACACACACACACACACACACAATTAGTGTATGTACTCACCCACTACTTACTATATATTTAGTAGTTTGCCATTTTGTATTTTGTGTGCCTCGTTCCATCAGAATCCTAGTCACTAATAGATATTATTTCCTTTAGAAAATAGCGGAGTCATCTTTGGTGCAATATGCCAGTCTAACCAAAATGTGGGTTGCTCTGGTCATTGTGCTGACTTTTCATACCCTTTTAAAAAGTGCTTTCGTCATGAACTTCTTTGAGGAATGTCCATGGCTAAGTCTCCCAAGCCAATTTTGTTTTACTAGTTGTCATGTTCAAATTCAGGTGGTCTATTTAGCAGTCTCCCCAGTTTATTGATTTTTAAAATCAATTGATTGGTTTTAATTAAGAATATAAACATAATTAAAATATATCGCATACGGTTTCATCGCTATTGTTTACCGTTGAAGTGTCCACCAGCGGCATCTTCCTTATTTCATCACAGCCTGGTCTTTTCTCAGATGTCACCTCTGGACATAAAAGCTTCCCGAGCCCTCTTTCTACAGCAACAGCTCCCTCCCCCTATTCTCTTGCCCGGCTCTATTTCTTTCCGGAGCATGTGTCCCTCCCTGACATGAATATACACGGTGGAATAAAGAATGCGAGGAGACGTGATCACTTGGAAGCAAGGCTCTAGGGTCATTTCTTTTCCTCCCTTCCCCCACTGTTTTTCTTTATCATGATTCAGATCCTTAGACTCATTTCGATCTTCTCAGATCTCAACTTGCATATTTTTTTTTCTTTTTTTTTTGGTACGTGCCCCTAGCGGCAACCGAACCCAGGACTCTGGTCCACAGGCCAATGCTCCAACTGCTGAGCCACACTGGCCAGGGCACATAATTTCCATCACAGAATTATATTTTACCGATTTAATTTTTATTAATCCAAAACTATATATATATATAATTATTTTCACGCATATTTCTGGTTGTAAGAAGAGAGGACTGTGGCCCACTTACAGATGTCTAGAAACAATAAGTGTGTTGAGACTGAAATTAGTGTTGTTTTTGATCACAGGGTGACAAAACAGAATTGACCTCAGAGCCTTGCCCCCGACTGATACTTTCTCCTTCACATGCTCCACGTCACTTCAGTGGTGATGGGACATGTTAGGAAGCAGACAGGAGAACACAAACTGTGTCGATGGCTTTTCTGGAAGGCCACAGCTCCATAACTCCAGTGCTCAGCAACCTGCACAAATAATTTTCTAACTGTCCCTAAGTATTAGTTATAAAAACTTTCAAGAAGAAAATATCAGTCTTCATTTCACAGTTGTCCAATGTGACGAATTTCTGGACATGTAAACAGTCTGGAGACCCTGTCCCTCAGGGTCTCTCGTTTGGTGCTCTGTGGTCCACAGTTACTGCTGAATGTGCCATTTCTGTATCCACCCAGCTCTTCCAAAACCGTTCAGGCTATTTTATATCAGTTTCCAAGAACCATCTAAGTTCTTCCTAATTAGCCCAATCCTTCAATAGAAAAGGATTGCTATGCATCCTACTCTAACATTAGAGTATCCAGAATGAATTATTATTTTTTTTACTAGAGAACCACTGGATAAATTTTACCATAGCTTTATTTTATTTGGCTTTGGAGTTTTGCAACAACAAAAAAACCCTATTATTTACATATTATTGATAAAAAATACTTAAAGAAATTAGAAGCAAGTGCAATGATCTTGATTCACATCTAAATATTTTCAATTGGACGATAAAGTACCATTTTAGACAGAACAGAAAGACTTGGTTCTGCCCCTGACTTTAAAAAACCTGCTCACAGTGCACGTTTTCACACCTGTATTAAAGGTAATGTTTTACTTATAGGTTAATTGAAATTTAGAGGTTAGTAAATAATCCTTATATCAAGGATGGTGCTTTTTGAACTGGTAGGTAAAAATTAGGGCAGCATTTTTATAATAATTGTTAATAGATGAGTCATCTTAAAATTTGTCTGTTAAAAATTGAAAAAGGGAAACTAAATTATTCCTGAGATCAACTTTTAAATTAAGGTTAGTGACAACATTAATAAAATATCAGTTAATTTATCCAAAACCAAAGGAATGAAGGAATTTAAAAAATAATATAAAAACCATAAAAAGTGCTAAATTTTTAAATTTTAACATAAGAAGAAGTATCCATTTTGATGTTATTCTGAACTAGAATGTAATTACTATACCAATTAAGAGGTACATTTTTATAATATAAATTATTTGGGTATTATATTTTCATTGTCATTGTTTTCTTATGACCTCAAATCATTGTTCAGGATTTTTAATTCTTTAATTTTTAATAAAATATAAAGTGTTGAAAGAGTTTTCAAAATGTAGTACATTCATAAGAGCTTGTTTAGGTTCCCAATCTGTATATAATTTGTGTAAATATCTCTCTACAGTTTTTAATACACATATTATTCACTCATTTATTTCTAACCACATAGCAAACTTTCCCCCATGAATTCAAAATATTTATCCATCTGTGTTTGTGAGGGGTTTACTTCTTTTATGAATACTCCATTTAATCTTTATTTCAGGAGATTACATTTCTGTCTGGTGACCATCATGGATTTATTATTTCATTGAATATTTATCAAGCACTTACGTTATATTAAGATTCCGTTCATTTTTACTGAACAAGATAAATGCCCTAACAGAACTCGGAGTCTAGTGGAGGAAACAATCAATTTTTTAATACCATAAACCATTTAGGTACTGTATTTTTATTGTAACTGTTTACAATAAACAAATCAATAAAAACATAATATAAGGTTAGATAGCAATAAATGCTATGAAGTAACCTAAACAGGGCTCCAACTTTAGATAGAGGAGTCAGGGAAGGCTTTATGGTGGAGGTAATATTTGAGCAAAGGTACAAAGAAGATAAGCCATGGAGATATGAAAGAGAGAATTCTAGACACAGGAAAAAACACACAAGCCTAAAACAGCAGCATACCTGGAGGTTTGAAGAACAGCAAAGAGACCACAGGGACACAAAATGGAATTGGCAAGGGGCTAAATAACAGGAGATAAACACATAATAGGAGTGAAGTGATTCAGATCCCCTTTGAAAACCTTGGAAATAGAAAGTTATCTGAAATAGGAAGCAACTGGACAGTTTGGAGGACAGTGATGCAATCTGACACAAGACAATGTTTCAGTCATATGATAGTGATGTAGCCAAAAAGTCATGAGACTTTGGATATGTTTTGAAAGTCAAGTCAGTGGGATTTGTTGTAGAACTGGATGTGAAATGTAACTAAAGAAAGAATCAATATTGGCTCCAAGGCCTTAGCTTAATACTTGGAAAGATGGTGTAGTCATTTACTGAATTGAAAGGAATGCAAGAGGAGCCCACTTAGCTGCATGCTGGGCATGTTAAGCTTGAGATGCCTGTTGGATGCCTAAGTGGAGATGTTGAGGTGTTTGGATATCTGCCCCTGGCATTTAGAGAAAAGGTATAGACTGGAAGTCTACATTTTAAACATATAGATGGTATTTAAGTACTGAAATGGATGAAATAACAAAGGGTGTGAGTGTATAGAAGCAGGGGGAAAGAGTTCTGAGCCTTTTAACATCTAAAAGTGTGGGATGTGAAAAGAAAGTAGCAAAGCAGACTGAGAAAATAATGACTGGTGAGGGAGAATCAAAATCAAGAGAATGTGGAATCCTTGAAGTCGAATCGGAGAAGTTTTTCAAGGGATAAAAGTGGTCATATCACTACTGATCTTACAGATGTTAAAATGTAACCAATATACTATGACTAATTTGGTTTGATAATTCAGATGAAATGCTTTAACTCCTTGAAACATATTATGTATCACCAGACAAAGAACAGAAAATCTGGAAAGGTTTATATCTATTAGAGACTTAAATCTATAATTAAAATCCTCTCAAAAAGAACTCTAAGTCCTGATGGCTTTCATGGTTAATTCTCCCAAATATTTAAGGGGAAAAAAATCGCATCAATAACAAGAAGTTAAAAAGTTTTTCAAGAAATAGAGTCATTTTGTAAGGCTAGCATAAACTTTATACAAAAACTGATAAGGGTATTACAAAATAAAGGAATTTATAAGCCTGTCTCATCTCTGAACACAGATAATAGACTCCTACTCAGGACAGTGGCACATCAAATTAGTTAGCTATGAATTGGGTAATAAATACCATTTAAATTAAATCTATGTCAGGAATGCAAGTTTGCGCTACCATGTGAAAAATAATCAATGAACAGATGATGTCAAAGAAAACAACCATATGATATTCCCAATAATCAGAGAAAAAGTCCTTGAAAAAAATGCATTCATTATAAAATTTCCTAGTAATCTAGGAAAAGAAGGGAATGACTATCATTTGATTATGGGTATTTAGAGAAGGAAAAAAAAATCCTCTATGGCAAACTTCACACTTATAGGTAATATTCAACTATACCCACAAGGATCAGAAGCAATGCAACAAGTTTCTGCTAGCCACCAAAGCTTTTCATCATCATGCAGCATGTCCTAGCCAGCACAGTGGGGCCAGATTAAAATAGAGAGAGTCATAAGAATTGGGAAGATAGAAGACAATCCATTCTTCACAAAAGACATCATTGTGTAGGTAGAAAATCCAAAATAGTCTATAGATATACTTAAAAATCAATATGTGATTTTAGCAAGCTCATTGAATACAAGGTCAACATAAACATCCATTTGCATTTCTACATACTAACAACAATAGACAATAAAATATAAAAATATGACTTATGATAGTCTCGAAAACATCAAATAATAGGAATGAATTTAATAAAATGGTTATTATTAGTCAAGATTTTCCATAGAAACAGAATAGGCTATATATGTGTATATATGAAATGAAATATATAGGTGACATCTGAAACAACAATTGCTCATGAAATGGATAATAAATTGTGGTATAGTCAAACAATGGAATAATACACAGCTATGAAAAATACTGCACACTACAATATAGAGTCATTTTGCAGGAATAATGTTGAGTTTAAGAAAGATGTAGAAGAGTACATCTAATATGATTTCATGTTCTATTGTATGACCTGGAGGGCAGTTACAAAGAAGTGATAATGCTTGTTCATAAAACTCTACTTTTAAACTAAGTGCACTTTATTTGATCTTGGTGATTCAACAATTCATGACAGTTTCCTATTGTCCTGATAATTTGCTCCGTATTAAGTATGTGAATAATATAATTTTATATCCAGCCAGAATTTATTTTTGTAATCTAAATTAAACATCTTTTCCATATTGGTAATCATTCCAAGTGACAGAAAATTTAAGGAACTCAAAGTGTTAACATTTACTGTGGTTTATAACATTCTGGCCCAGGACTTTAACTTTCAAACGCATGCATTTCAAGCAGGGAAGAGTAGCAAAGATCTTCCAAGTGGGAAGGGATTCATCCTTTAATAGAGAATGAATCTTCAAGAGAGAATGTTAGGAGACAACCTCCTTCTCAGCTGGATAGATCCATAAAGCTGAAGAAGTGGTTACAAGTGTAGGTAGATTGTCTTGCCTTTGGCAATGTCATGTTTCCTACACAGGGTGTCATTACTTTCAGGGTGGACATCCTAAGGTGCACGCAACACTGTGAACTTTCGTTGCCAGGAGAGAAAGGTGTCGCCATGGGTTTCTCTCATGCCTGGCCATCTGACTGGTTTAGTCCGAAATTTCGGGACAGTGGGTCCTATCTGGTAACAAATAGAATGGGAAAGATGACTCAGGAACAAAGGGACAAGGCTTTTGTCTTATTGTCCCTTTTCAAAAAACCCTCAGTGCTCTTTATCTCACCCACAAATTACCTTCAAAATAAAGATATACTTTCAAAGCCTGGTAACCAAGGTCTGTTTAAGCTGCCCCATGCTACCTGTGAACATTATCTTGTTCTGTTCACTATGAGCCACGCTGTGCTTCAAGCAGGGGTCCCCCTACCTAGTTTCTTGCACCCTCATACCCGTCCCTGCTTCGGAGCACTTCTTGCTCCTGTCTGCTGCTGCCGGAGCGCTCGGCCCTTTTCCACTCTCAGGGCAGTGTTGTATATTCTTTGTCTTGTGCACAAAAATCAGCAGAGTCACACATAGACGATTCCTTTGGTTGCACAGTTGTGATAGTCCTTCCAAGAGATGAGATATACTTAAAGATATTTAAAAATAGATTTTAAAAAGTCTTAAGCTGATTAAATAATATCAAAGTGAATAAAATAAAGAATGTGAGTTTTTGTCCATGGCTACTCCATAAGGTTGATCAGTGTTCTTCTTCCCAGGCATTAGTCTAGCTGTAGAGAAAGAAACTTGTTTTCCCAACTATGACATTACATTATATATTCTGTTCTGCAACTTTAAAGTTTTTCTTTCATGTACCATTTCCTGAACCTCTTTGCATGTCAGTACATAGAGATGACTTAAAAAAAAAAAAAATCAGTTGGAGAAAAGCCTTGAGCATATTTTTTTTCTGTAGGGGAGAGGTCCTGCTACTGATGTACAAGAGCTGCAAGGAAAACTAATCTAACCGGCAAAGCAGGGATCCAGGACATTTCTCCGCAGGTCATCTTCCTTGGCACCTTTCCTATAACTTCTACTCCTGCTCTTAGGACAGGGACACTCCTAGCCCAGCCACTTTATAAGGAATCAGAGTCAGGACTGGGGGTCCCTCTGCCTGGAGAAGAAAACTTGGTAGTGTAGGAACACAGCCCTTGGGCAGGACTGGGGCATCCCTCTCCTTCTGTAGGCGCAGTGTTGCCTTCCTGGTCTTTTCAGAGTGCTCCATAACCGCGGTCTATCCAGCCGTCCTCTCTCGGCATCTCTTCCAGGGACCTTAATTTTCATCCTCTGCTCCCCACCCCCATGTTCTCTAACGTGCTGGCTTTTCTTGGTACCGAAGCTTTTTGGGAAACTATTTGATTCACAACAACATTGTTCAGCTCTCCCGTGACCTGATGACGAATTTTACCCAGTACCCCTAAGGTTGGTGTACCCAGATCAAAGTAGAAAGCTGTTCTGAATGACCCTGATGCGAAGCCAGGATGCCACCCACCTCCGCTTGCAGCCAGTTCCAGCAAAGTAGAAGACACGACAGGTTGAGCAAGGAAGCACGAGATTAGGTACCCAGCCAGGGAAAAATAACTCCAAAGGCCGAACTTCAAAACCGATGTTTCTTTATTTCCTGGCCGGTTTGGCTCAGCGGTTAGAGCGTTGACACCGGGGTTCGGTTCCCGCTAAGGGCACGTACCTTGGTTGGTTTGTCCCGGGCCCTGGTTGGGTCGTGTGGGTGGCAGCCACTTGATGTGTCCCTTTCACGTCTATGTTTCTCTCTCCCTCCCTCCCTTCCTCCTCTCCCACTCTATCTGAACAAAAACAGGAAAAAAAAAAAAATACTGCTCACTCTAGCTGGAATTCTTCCGTGCCGGACAGCGGGGTCCTGTAACCCAAAGATCAGCCCCCACCCTGGCCCCAGCGCGCCTCCCCATCACGAAATTGCCTTAAATGTTTTTGTTGTTGTTGTTGTTCTTGGTTTTTGTTTTGTATTTGCTCCTAGCGGGAACCGAACCCAGGATCTCGGGTTCCCGGGCGACACTCCAACCGCGGAGCCAAACCGGCCAGGGCGTGTTGTTTGAACTTTCAACGGTTCTGCACCGCGCTCCGCTCCAGCGCTCCCGTTGGCGGTCAGCGCGCTCGGGGACTGCCCGCGGCCTCTGTTCGCGCTGCAGCCGGACCAGCCGCGCGTCCCGCGGGCCTGGGGCCTGCGCAGTAGCACCCTTCGCGGTGCTTTCCCGTCGCCAGGGAGGCTCGACCCAGCCCCGCGGGCCCGGCGGCCTTGCAGCAGGAAGTCCCCGCTTCTGGCTCCCGGGCCTCCAGTTGCCGAGGAGGAGGATGTGAGCTTGCCCGGGTCCACCCCTTCCCCCCGAGGAGGACCCGCCCCCGGCCGCGCCCGCTCCCGGGCTCGGGGCTCCGCCCAGGGCCCCGCACTTGAACTACAGGGGCTGGACCGCGCCCGGCCCGAGCACTCGGCGGGTCTTCCTTCCCAGCCCCGGGCGAAGCCGGCCGCCGGCGCGATGCTGCTCTGGCTGGTTCACCTCGGGCAGAAGCTGCTGCTCTGGGGCGCGGTGGCCGCAGTCTCCACGGCAGGCGCCACCCTCATCCTCAATCTCTTGCAGATGACGGTGAGCTCCGTGCAACTGTGGCTGCACCTGCGGCCCATGCCGACCGTGGAGGGCGCCTACCCCTTGTTAGGACACATAAAGATACTGAAGATGGACGCGAAAGGTAAGGGGCCCTGCGCCCAGGCCCGCCGCATCCCCACCCCATCCCCACCCCGGGGCCGGTGGGCTCCTGGCCCGCGCCCGCCGCAGGGAGCCGAGGCACCTCCAGAAACTGGAGCCCGAGCCCCCGGCCGCCCTGCCCCCTCACCCCCCGCTCATCTGTCAGCCTGGAACACCACGACTTGGGCAGGCTACTGGGGAAGGGGGCGACTTTTTGCCCGCCCCCCCGTGGGTTCCCAATTCTGTCCAGTTTTCCCTGTCACCCGAAACAATTGCTGGTGCCCTCTGTTCCATATGCACTTTTATTTTAAGTAGAGCATAGAATGCAGAGTTTCTAAACTCGCGCACTCCGCCCTCCTTTTCTCTTGCCTTTTCCCAAACTCCTGGCTGCTGCTTTCTCAAAACCCCGCCTGTCTTTTCTTCTGTCTTGCCTGTTCAAGTCCTGAAGGCAGAAACACCTTAAAACTTCGTCTACCTCCCTGTCTTATATCTATCTAGATATCTATTGTCTATCTTTCTTTCTTTGAAAAATAAGAGACTCGAAATTCATTTGAGACCTCCCTCCCTCCAGAAATCACAAGACTTGACCACAACTTTTATTCCTCCTTGGCTTGCATCTGTTAGCCCTTCTAAGGAGGTTACATAATAACCACAAGTTATGATCTCAGGGCTTTCCCCGAAGTTTATACAAGTTTCAAAAGTCTTATTTATTAAAGAGTGGGTTGTTTTTTTGCCCTGGCCAGTTTGGCTCAGCTGTTAGAGCATCGGCCTGTGGTCCAGAGAGACCTGGGTTTGGTTCCCGCTAAGGGCACGTATCTCGGTTGCAGTTTGTCCCCGGCCCTGGTTGGGGGCACTTTTAAATTAGAAAGCTCTTAAAAGCACCTGACATTTGCAATCCCCCATGAGGGAGGGTGAGTTAGATTTTAGCACTTCATCTTCATGGGTTATAAATTGAGATATCCAGAATTGAAAAGATTTGCCCCAAATGACATATTTTAAAATGAGCCCAGAACCAGAACCCACTTCCCCCTTAGATTAATTGTTACAGGCATTTGCAGACTGAACATTAACTCCAAAGCTTGAAGGTTTATGTCTTTCCCACTTCTCCTTCTCCAAATAAAAATAATGCTGTCATTTCAACTTCACAGGAATATGATGAGGCCTCATGGGAGAGAGTTACCAAAATACTGAAAATGTTTCTGGCAGAAGAAATCCAAGTAAACTTTTCACCAACCAAACATCAATATGACTGATGTCACAAGTGATGCTTTAGTTAGATATATGAAAAACATATTTGTAAAAATTAAATCATGGCTAATACTAAAAGCAGAGCTTCCCTTCTACCTTAAGGCTTTATAGTATTAAAAAATAATTATGTAGAAATGTAGACCCCCCCACCCCCACCCCAACAAGAAACAATATATTTAAGAAATCTCATCATATTCTTTTGGGCGAATTTTTCTAAGAAGTGAAATCTCTAGCGAATAAGATCCATGTCAAAACAAACTGTGAGTTATTGCATTATTTAAAGAAATTGTCCTTACAGGTACTTCCCGAGTGAAGAGAATGACAATACATTGTCTTTCTCAAGGACACTTTTTAATCCATCAACAACTACTGCATCTTGGCATGAGACAAACCTTTGCTCAGTTTCCAGCTTTGTAACCAACTTGACTTTGACAAGTTGGTTAAAACTCTCTAAGTTAGAGTGTGTTCCCTTTTACTTGTAAAAGTAACTATATTCCAGTTATTTTAAGGATTAAATTGAATGCATGCATTTTCTAGATTACTATCTAAAACTTGATTAGAGTAAATTCTTTAATTGTCAATCATGCACTTACTTGAGGCCCTTATTTGCACCCAACATTGAGCCTAGCAACATTGGGAATATCCTCAATGATCCTTGTTTCTTATACAAGAGGCTGTGCTTTTTATTTCTTGGCTACAGTTCATATTATGGCCTCAGAAATCTCACTTGGAGTATTGCAGTTGACTTCCAACTAAGTTCTTGCACTCTGCTCTCTTTTCCAGTCCTTTATGTCAACACCTGCTATTGAAGCACCTGCTACCTTCAAACCACAGGTTCTGATGTCTCCGTCTTCCCTGTACGGTCAGATCAAGGCAGTCAGTTTATTGGCATGCCACATATATGTTGACACTGAAAAATTTATATATGCTACATATATATGTTTTTCACAGAAAAATTTAGCCAATTGTTTTGACTGGGTAACATTTTGAAACGGCGTGATGTAATGGTGACGATGGCACATTCTGGGTCTGGGTGCCTCAAGCACAGAGCCGGTCCCGCATTTACCAGTGCTGTGACACTGTGCACGTTCTTCAGCTGTGCCGTGTCCTCGGTGGGTTCATGATGCTGTGATCATGCTTCTCATCTGACTGTGGTGAGGTGTAAAAGACATAGGCATCGGAAACCCTAGCACTAGTCTGATGCATACTTACCCCAGCACAGCAAATAATATGACCGAATGAATGTCAGCCACGTTAGAAGAATCATTATTAGGTTTGGATGTGCCAAGACATGCACAAGCTTTAAAAAGATTATTACTGCTTATTCAGTATTGTGCGCAGTGGCCATCCCCAGCCCGGGCCTCTTCCCCACTGCACTTTGAGCCCGTGCCCTGAATCCCAGGGATCGGTGAGGCTTAGGGATGGATAAGGAGCAGGGAGAGACTGAGTAGGTAACATTTATAGACATTGAAAAAGCTGAAAAGTTTAATAGTTTGTGTTTCATGCCATGTCAATTTGTCTGTGGTGCCCAAATGCCCATGTTACAACAGCCCTGTCAAAATCTCAAGTGCCATGTCAGTAGCCTCACAGTGCGCTTGGGAGCAGTCCTGCTGCTGCTGGTTGGGCATCCCCTTTGCCTGGAAGAAGCCCTGGGGACCCACTTGCCTCCAAACTAGCCTGTTCTCTTTACCCTTCCCTACCGAGAGTTTACTAGCAATCTAATGAGACTTCTGCCTCATTTCTTAACCTGTAGTCAGTTCCCCAACCAAAACTCCAGTCCTCCCTGAACCTCATGTTGCCAGATTTTTTCTCTGAGTTCTGGACCCTGAACCCCACTCCTTTAGTCACTGTGTTTGCCTCCAGGTGGCTCTCACCAATATGGTTCCCTTACTGAGAATTTTGTCCTTGTTTGACCTCTCTGAATGCCAGGCTGCATTCTCCAGACTGGAGCCTCAGGGATTTCAACACAGAAAATGTTGACTCCCAGGTTGTCCTCACTACTTCAGTGTTGTTGGGATTCTTGGTCACCATCTCCCCACACCCAACACAAGGACCAGCCAAAAGCGAGACCAGGGCCCCTAACCTTGGCTGCATCAAATCCCCAGCTTTTTCCACCCCCAGAAGCTTCCTGTGGTCCCAAACCTCACACAGCTCACTGTTATTGTCCTAAAATACAACTCCAGTCATGTTGGTACTCATCAGATACTTTTAATTATTGTCTAGAGCCTCTCAAAGAAAAATCAAATTTCCAGAGCCTTCCAACACTTCAATCTCATCTACCAATGTTATCATCCCCATCCTATGCTTTGTCTAAACCTACAAGGAATTCTCAGACCACCATGCTTCTGCTTTGCTATTTTGCTGCTTGGTTTATATTCTTGTCCCTCTCCCTTGCTTCCCCTTGTCTTCCTACAAGAAGCCAACTCATTCTCCTATCCTCAAATGCCATCTCTTTCATGAAATTTCTCTAGTCCTTGCAATGAAAATTGATTACACCTCAGACTGAAACTTCTATTTTAACACCCATTTCATTTTATCAGATACCATGATGAGTTACAAAAGTAACCATCTCCTATGATTATAAATTCCTCAAGAGTAGGGACCTGGTCCCTTGGAGGTATATATTCCTGGCCTGTGGAATGCATGTATGAGCATATTGCATTTCCAAGGAGAAGTAAGGTGCTTCTATCATGTTCATTCTCATTTCTGGACATGTCACAGGAAACTGATTTGATTGACTGCCAAATTTCCCTATCTGATCCATACATCTTCCTCGATGCTGTGCAGTAATTTTTTTTAGGATCCTTTTTTATATTCAATATGACATTTTTTCTACATTTTTGTCATATTCCCAAACCAAATTCCACCTGCTGGGCTCTTGAGTTATAAGCTTTTTTTCTATACAAAGGAAATATAGACACAGCCAATTATTTATATATATTGTGTGTGTGTTCCTCTTTTGCAAAATATTTTTTTATCTCCCTCCAGCTTACTTTTTATTCTCCAGGTTCAGAATAATGGAACTCCCCCTTCTTTGTAAAATTTTGTATATTTAAATAATAGTAGAACTACAGAAAAGTTGTAAAAATACTACAGAGTTCACATATGCCGCCTACCCAGCCTCCTCTAATGGTGATATTTTTACAGAATTAGTATAATTATCTAAATTAGATCATTAATATCTGTCCGATGTTCTTAACAAAACTACAGCCCTTATTTGAATGTTACATTTCCCAGTAACATCATTTTTCTGCTCTAGGACTCAATCCAAACTCTGACATGGAATTTAGTAGTTGTGTTTGCTTGTGTTAACATTCTTCACTATTAGTCTTTTCTAACCCGTGATCATTTATCAGTCTTTCCACACAGGTCATGCTCCTGACACCTTTGCTGAGTCATGTACTTTGTAGAATAACTCTCAGTTTGGGTGTATCTGTTGTTTTTTCAGTTACGTTGAAGTTAGGCAATTTTCGGCAAGAATACCATACATGTGATGTTGAAACTTTTCCTCTAACATCAAGAAGATAAAGATACTCACTCTCACCCATTTTATTCAACATAGTATTATAAGTCCTACCCGGAGCATTAAGGCAAGAAAAAGAAATCATAGCCACTCAAATCAGAAAGGAAGAAATATCACCATGACATGATTGTTTATGTAGAAAACCCTAAATACTCCACCAAAAAAACAACAACAAAAACTGTTAGAATTAATAAATAAATTTAGTAAACTTGTAGGCTATAAGATCAATATACAAAAATTACTTGCATTTTTTATGCTAATAATGAACTATGAGGAAGAGAAATTAAGAAAACAGTCCCACTTACAATCGAATCAAAAGGAATAAAACGCCTAGGAATAAATTTAATCAAGGAGCTGAGAGTCCTGTGCGCCGAAAACTAGGAGACATCGAGGAGCAGTGTGCAATCCAATGCTTCCATTATTTATTTCTTTGCTCAAATGGGTCCAGTTTGGGATATTAGGAGCTCTTTCAGGTTGGCTCCTTGATGTTTCAACATGACCCCCTCATTTTTTTAGCACTTCTTTGTTTTCTGGCACCAAAATATATTCCCCTCGTCTTGTAGTTTTCTCCGCCTCAGCCCTGAAATCAATTCCTTCTCCAAGGGTAACTGGTTTATTTTATTGTAGAACAGTATTTAGAAATACTGAGATCTGGGTGGCCAACAAAGAACAGGGAGCCAACCTGGGAAGTCACATGACCAGAAGTCTTGTTTGGAGTATCACAGGAGACTTCACAGGAAAATCACGTTTAAGATCACATTGGAAGAATAAGTAAGTTACTAGACAAAAAGCAGTAGGAGTAAGAGTTTCCCACAAAGAGTAGAGAGAGGTTCTGTAAAGGCTCTGAAATATTTGAGAAATTGGAGGGTTAGTGAAACAGAAGAGTTTACTTTCAATTATTTTTTTCTTGAGGTAACATTGGTTAATGACACGATATAAATTTCAGGTGTACAACAGTATAACTTGATATCTGTATACTCTATTGCGTGCTCACAGCCAAAAGTCTAGTTTCCATCTATTACCATTTGTTTAACCCCCTTGACCCATTTCACCCTCTCCCCACTCTCGTTCCCCTCTGTAATCACCATTCTGTTGTCTGTATCTACGAGTTAGTTTTTGGTTTGCTATGTTTGTTCATTTGTTACTTTTTTGTTTTATATTTCACATATGAGTGAAGTCAGACATTGCCCTTGTCTGTCTGACTTATTTTACTTAACATAATACCCTTAAGATTCATCCACGTTGTCACAAATGACAATACTTTATCTTTTGTATGGCTGCGTAGGATTGCATATATATATATATATATATATATATATATATATATATATATATATATATATATCACATCTTCTTTATCCATTCATCCATTGATGGACACCTGAGGTTACTTCTTGCTTTCATGTCCTGGTTATTATAAATAATTCTGCAGTGGACATTGAGGTACATGTATCTTTTTGAATTAGTGTCTTCATTTTCTTCAGATAAATACCCAGGAGAGGAATTGCTGCATCGTATGGGAACTCTCCTCCCAGTTTTTTGAGGAACGTCAATACTGTTTTAGAGAGAATGGAGGGAGGCACCTATTTACCAGGGCTGGAGAGACAGGACAGGTTCTCCTCCCTGTAGACGAGTAGCCTGAAACGAGACCTGGAGAAATTCAGCAGCCCCAGTGTTCTTGGGAAAGGCACACGGTAGGCTCACCAGAGACATCCGCAGTGTTGGACATTTCACAGTTAACCTGATTGCTGCATATGTATCATTCGAAATTAAGTTAAATTAGCCTCTTAATCCATTCCTCAATCATTTAATAAGTACTGTGTGGTTTACTTTCAAGATGTGAAAGATCTGGGGGATATTGAGTGAGGTCCCCAAAGTAAAAAACCCAAAAAGACAGAATCAGGAACTTATTGAAAATTAAATATTTTCTCCTAGGTTTTTTTCAGCAGATGATTACTGTGTCTGAAAATCACCGACATTGGCCACTGGTAAAACTGTGGCTTGGCCCAGTGCCAGTAATAGGCATGTATAAGGCAGAAGTTGTGGAGGTGAGTCTGTGGGGAAAATGATCAATGTTCCATTGTATATTTGATGGTGTGAGAATCTCATCAGAATTAATATGGTGAATATGTTTTTATATTTAATCGAATTCAATACATTGAGCACTTCATTAATGTCTTAGGCAGTATAAGTGTCATCTAATGCTTTCTAGGTATAGACTGAATTCTGGAGAGAGTAGTAGCCACTACATGTTTACACCTATTTGTTATCAAGTAATATATTTGTTCTCCTTTTTTGGAAAGTCTGCAGAAGGATATAATTTAACAGAACCATAAATAGATTATTCCCTAAGGTGAATTCGTATCATCTGCCAGGCACTGTTTTAAGATTCCAAAAATTTAACACTAATAAAATATGAGTGTTTCTCTCAAGATGCTCAGAGTCTCATATTATGTCCATTATACTTTTATTATTCTTAGTTGATTTTCCTAAAAGAGAAGACTAATCTGATATTAACAGGGCAGATATTGCTAACCCATGCTATAGAAATTACTCAAAAAATTGTTTAGCTTTCACTTATTATCATGACTTTTGGAAAATTATCTTGAGGTTTGATGACAAAGGATTTGAGTCAGGAAGTAAAAATGGGATAAACAGAGCTTCTCTTCATGGAACAAAATTAAAAGTAGAATTTTCTAGGGAATTGGACTGGTATATATCTTTTTAGTTATTGTGGTAAAACTGTTAGAGTTTCTCTGGTACCACACTGCAGAATCTACTGGTCTGGAGGAGATAGCGAGAGGACCACAGAGAGGACTTCAGCCTCTGCGGACTTAGTATAAGTGGGTTCAGTATACGTGGATACAGATCTGTCCAATGTAGAGATGGGGCAAGAAACCTGGGGAGCATTTTGTGCTTAGTCCTATACACCCATCCCTTCTGCTTCACTTTGACTCCAGGTGACTCAATTATACCAATGGCTCCCAATGTCACTCATATCCTGGAGACTCTCAAATGTATACCTCTAGTATAAACCTTAATCCTGAGTTTCATACCTGCTTTCAGACTATGGCAACTTGAAACCTCCAAATCCACATACCTGATAATGAACTTGTGATTTCCATCTCCATAGACGTGGCCATCCTTAGATTCACCTGCCTCCTCTTCCCTCACTCCTACCCTCTAGAAATGACTCTACTTGGTTCCTAGTTCATGGCAGGAACCAGGGGTCTTGGACATTTTCCTTTCTGTCAACCCCATCTAGTCTCCCAGATTGAGTGACAGTCCTATGTTCAAACTCTGAATTTCTTTGAGTCAGGGATGAAAATGAATCACAGAAATCGTTATGAAATGCTTAGAAAGTTTTGTGTTCTAGCCAGCTATTCTTATAATTTAGATTGTTGTCATATCTGTATCTCTCAATTATTATTATTTTTCTCTTTCTAAGGTAATATTAAGTAGTGCAAAGCATATCGACAAATCCTATATGTACACATTCCTAGAACCATGGCTTGGCCTGGGACTTCTTACAAGGTCTGTCCGGGTAAATTTGTAAAGCTATCTCACGTGTAACTTATGTCTGGCACTGACACAGGGGAGTCTTCCTACAGCAAGAACATGCTCTCAGGTTGCAGGGAGGAGCTGGGAGAAAAGGTTGGGTGGTAATAGGCCTTTGGCAGACAGTCGGGAATCCAGGGTATATAGGAATCTCCACACAGTGTTCAATAATGATGACCACCAGTGTTCCAAGAAGGCTTAGAAAGTCCTGATGTATAAATGGAGTAAAGCACAGGGGAGTTTTGAGCAGGGATGTCTTGAAAATTCAGTGAAAAAGACAGTTATCCTCAGAGAAGTCAATGGAGCTCAGTAACCTCAGACCTGGAGCTGCCATCCAGGAATAAGACTCCACTGACTGAGAAAGAGAAAGCAGGACCTTGGTGGGGACTTGGGAGAATTTGAAGATGACAGAGATCAGAGTAGTCTCATGGCACTCATTGATCTTCAGAGGGTTAAGATTAGATGGGGGGAGGGGAGGGTTGTAATTTTTAGAAACTCAGAACCTAGAAATTTAGAAAAATATCAATCATTTAGAAGGATAGCTAAACTATGCCCATTCTGTAACTATATATGACTCTTTCCTTGTCATTCTGACCAAAGCATTTGAGAATCAGTAGGTTTAGCTGTTGCAGAAGAATTTTGTTCTCTTGACTGTACTTTATTTGTTTTGGATGTTGCTCTTCTCTTATTTGTAACCATGTATTGTATTTCTAGTACTGGAAACAAATGGCACAGAAGGAGAAAAATGATAACACCCACTTTCCATTTTACAATTCTGGAAGATTTCTTAGATGTCATGAATGAACAAGCAAATATATTGGTTAAAAAGCTCGACAAACATGTTAATGGAGATGCATTTGACACTACTTTTTACGTCACTCTTTGTACCTTAGATATAATCTGTGGTAAGTTTCATTAATTTGTTTCTAGAACTATGGTCTAAACATAAAATGGCCCAAAGAGAAAATAACATTTCACTGGGGAGGCAAATGAAGGGGTTAGGAAGGATATTGGCTTCTTCGGGTGGTCCCACTGCTGGAATTAGCCTCGGGACAAGCAGCACCACTCTGCTAGGCTCTGGACAGAGCCGTCCCAGAGCCCACGCTCCCGGACGGGCAGAGGGAAGAAAGAGCAGAAACAGGGAGTAGGAGAAACAAAAGGTACAAGAGTGAAAAGGGGAAAGGAACAATTCTACAATATGTAAGAATACATGTCTTCTTTCAAGTGTTTGCTACTGGAAGAAAAAAACAAGATGTGTGCATGAATTAAATGGTTGTTTCTCACCTGTATTTTGCAGAAACAACTATGGGCAAGAATATTTCTGCTCAGATTAATGATGATTCTGAGTATGTCCGTGCAGTTTATAGGTAAATGGAATCCTTCTAATTATTTTTTTAATTGTTACTGATTTGGGTTTTAAAAAAATATTGCTAATACTTTTTTGTCTGTGTTGTATCTTTTTCATTGTTTCAAAATGAAACAATCAACCTGATCATTTAAGCATGTATTTTAACAGTAGAGGAGTCATAAATTATGGCACACCCTGATTATGTAGTAATTTTATTTTATTTTATTTTGTACGTCCCCCTAACGGGAACCAAACCCGGGACTCTCTGGTGTGCAGGCTGACGCTCCAACTGCTGAGCCAAACTGGCCAGGGTTATGTAGTAATTTTAAATGATTATATTATAATATACTGAGAGATTGCAATAAGATGCCTAGTGATAAAAAAAATAAAACAATTCTTTTTAGCATGATGACCACCAGGTACAAAAAAATTATTCATTGAAAAAAAAGAAAGCTTTTAGAAACTATACCAGAAAGTTAGCTGTGATTATTGTTTTGTGTTATGTACTTCTCTTTCTTATTGTTTTTCCTATTGTTGTTATTAATTCTCTTTTCTGCACTGAGTGTATATTCTTTTAAATTAAAACAATCATTTTTACTTTTAGAAAATTGTTTGAGATTACTCAGCTATTAAAAGGCAGGGCCAAGGTTTCATTTGATGTATTCTACCTTTAAGTTCACTGCTCATTTCATTTCATTTTAACAGATATTTATTGAGCATATATAATCTGCCATTCATCGCACAAGGTACTGATTAGTTTTATAGTGGCCTACAGAACAGAATAATAGAAGACAAGCATCAAAACAAATAAATAAAAACGTATAAATTATAATAATTACTTAGAAAAAAAATAAAGTTGATATTCAAAAAGAAAATAGTAATAAGTACCACAAATTGAGTGACCAGGAAAGGCCTCTTTGCAGACTTGGCCTGTACGCTGATCTCAGAGGAGGCGATCAAGTCCTGGTCTTTCTGCTCTGTCACTGGAAGTGTTGAGGGAGGGACCCTGGACAGTTCTGTGACAGATGGATATTTAATGAGCATTTTTCTGTAGGAGAGGACAACCAGTTGTTTTCGGTCACTCCAGAGGAGTGATCAAACAAATGAGTGGACATTAAACAGGCAGATTTCATCCCACCCTGTGGTACAAGAGCTACAGGCAGCCTGGGGAGGTCTGGAACTCCTCCAGGAGAAAGAAGCAGAGATCATGTGGACAACTAGTAAGGGTGTTTTGGAATGGATTTTTCATTCCTGTTAGGAGCCCATTCTGTTTTTAAGCTTCCTTGTATGTGTAATAACCCATGCTTTCATTGTTGAACATAAAGCATGGAGCTCTTAGTAGGCTCTAGGATGAATTATCTTCATTGTCACACATTACCCTCATTGTGTGGCTCCAAACAGGTGCTCAAGTAATGCACATTTTTGATGTAGCAGCTGATACATTTGTATCCTATTTATAGGATGGCTGATATAGTACATGAAAGAATGAAGAAGCTTTGGCTCTGGCCTGACTTTCTATTCCTTCTGTTTAAAGGATGGAAACCCAAAAGGACCCTACAGATTTTACATAATTTTACCACCAGTGTAAGTTGTCGATTCTTATTGTGATCAAACGTATATAACATAAAATTTTACCATGATAGCCATTTGAAGTGTACCATTCAATGACATTAAGGGCATTAAGAATGTTGTGCAACCATACCATTATCACTTTCTAGAACTTTTGTAAGTGCATGATTTCTGTTTTGTTAACATACCCAGTGTAGGCTCATGGAGCCTGTATCTCATAAAAGTTGAATAATAATGGGAAAAAAAACATAGGTAGCATGGTTAATTTTAAATTAGGTGTTCACCAGATATTAATTTAAGCACTTGCAAAATGTCTGATACTGTACAAGTTCTAGAAATACAGTAATTAATGTTCCCTACTGGGGGATGTTGTCTACAAATAAATAATTGTAAAATGTAATCTGAGCTATGATTGTTCATTAATAAACAGGGTGCTGTATTAAAAGAATAAAGACACAAGGGTCTTCCCCAGAAGAGGGGGTGGGGGGGAGAGATAAAACACAGAACTTATATGCATGTATACATGAACAATGGACATGGACAACAAAGCTGGAGACAGGGCGGGGAAGGAGGGGGAGGGGGGAATCAGTGGGGGAAAAAGGAGAAACATCTGTAACAAAAATAAATTAATTAATTTTAAAAAAGGACACAAGGGTCTGTGTCATAAGAATCTTCTGGAAAATGTTTGGATTAGACAGTGGTTTTCAAATGCAAAGGACATTTATAGCAGCATCTTAACTTGGAAAAGATAAAAATTAACTAGATATTATGATTTAATTGGTTTATTTTAAATTTATTTTTTAAATTTATCTTTATTGTTGAAAGTATTACAGATCCCTCCTTTTTTAACCATTGGTCCCTTCCTTCCTATCCCTCCCACACATCACCCCTACCTTCACCACACTGTGATCTGTGTCCATTGGTTGTGCACATGTGCACAGCCAGTCAGAGAAAGACAAGTATCACATGATCTCACTTATTTAATTTTTAATGACAAGGAGATAGTAATGTTTTGGATATAGGATGTCAGTCTTGGTGTTAAAAATGTGTTTACGAGCCTTGGCCGGTTTGGCTCAGCGGTTAGAGCGTCGGCCTGCGGTCCGGAGAGACCCGGGTTCGGTTCCCACTAAGGGCACGTACCTCGGTTGCAGTTTGTCCCCGGCCCTGGTTGGTCATGCGGGTGGCAGCCACTCGATGTGTCCCTTCACGTCGATGTTTCTCTCTCTCTCTCCCTTCCTCTCTCTCTCCCTCCCACTCTATCTGTACAAAAAAAAAAAAAAAGGAAAATATCCTCGGGTGAGGATAAAAAAAAAAAATGTGTTTATGAAAAGGCAAAGTTCAATTGATAACATAAATGTAGATAAAAGTGCCTAAGTAATTATATTTACTCTTTGCTAAATTTTGGTTTAAAATATGTTGGCATTGCTTCCTCACAGTGAAGTACTGCCTACCACCTGCAGATCAAGTGGTTACCGAGTCACTAGCTGTTAGATGAACGAGATGTTGGAGTGAGTTGCGCTCAGTGTAGTTATTGCCTGGCAATAGGCAAATGGTGAACAATTTGTATTTTATGGGTATAATTACACTTGTCTTCAAATTTCATGCCTTAATATCAGTATCAATAAGGAATGAATTCCAAATTGGATGGACAATATTATTCATTTAATACTATTGAAAATTGCTTACTGAATAAAAGAAGACATGGTGTTTATTCATTCAACAACTATTTAATGAACATTCTTAAAATGCCAAGCAGTGTTCTAAAGGTTGGAAATGTATCAATGAATAAAGACACATTTGCTGCCACATTGAAATTGGATGAGAAAGACACTAAATAGCAAATACAATGCCAGGTGGTAAGTGACATGGAAAACAAATATATAGGCTTAGGAACATAGTGAATGTTAGGGTCTAGGGTAGCAGTGACCAGGGATGGTCTTTCTGATAGTGTGACAATGGGCAGCAGAGACCTAAAAGGAGGGAGGAAGCTAGTCATGCTGACGTCTTAGGCAAGAGCATTATAGGCAGAAGGAACAGCAAGCATACAGGGTGATTGTTTTCTCCAATACAACATGTAATTACAGTGATCTATAATTAGTCTATTATATAATGTTTGTGTTCTCTTCACCATGCCAACTTTTTCTCATGTGCTCATTCAACTTTCTGGGGCCCTATTTAGTAGACTACTCTATTCCCATGTTGGAAAGGCTGCAAAAATAGCCCTTGGAAATTATGTATTTGTTTGACATTAAATTTGTTTCTAAAAGCTTTGTCAAATAATGCGCTGAAAATGTTAACAGAAAGCTTTACTATATGTTCACAAAAGCCTAAGTTATTTTTGAATTAGAAAGAACCGGAAAGGCTTAGGAAAAAATCAGTTAAAGAAGCTAGAATATTTTCCTAGGAAAATGTATTACTATGTCATATCAAATGCCAAATAAAAGCCTGTGGTCATTGCAATCATACAGGTCATTGTTGAGCGGGCCAATGAAATAAAGAAAAATGAAGAATGTAAGAGTGATGACCGGGACATGCCCCTCTGCAAAAGAAAGCGCAAGGCTTTTCTTGACTTGCTTTTAAATGTAGTTGATGATGAAGGGAACAAGCTGAGCCACGAAGATATTCGAGAAGAAGTGGACACTTTCATGTTTGAGGTATTTGTCACTGTCACTTTCAGGTACCATTAAACAAATGACAGTTTCTGTTACATAACATGAAACGGAGCTGTTCGTGGTTTTTGCGAACCTTGGGAGTTAGTTTGCTAAGGATAAAGAGCCAACACCAATGCTCAGACACGTTTAAGTATTTAACAGTAAAGCTGGAAATAACATGGAATACCAATAATCATTTGTAGCAGCCTTTTAAAATATGTTGGGATTCTTGGTATAAGGGCTTATCTGTTCTCAATTTTTTTTTTTTAATTTTAAAAAATAAACAATTTATAGGAATTCTTAAAAAAGCTTTTAGCCTTTTTTAAAAGCCTAATCACATTTTAAAGTAGCTTGCTATAGCTGAGGAGGAGTCATTCTATTATAATAAGAAATGACAAGATTTAAGACCCTGATTAAGTACCAAGTCAACTTTCTTCGAAGGAAGCCTAAGGCTCGCCAGGCCTCTCCAGCAGAGGAGTCCCCAGAAATTGCTGTCCATTCTCTATGCTGCTTCCTACTTCCTTTTAATCTCCGAACCCCACAAGTCTGTTTCTTCACTCCCTGTTTTTTGTTTTTTTTTCAATTACAGTTTACATTCATTATTATTCTGTATTAGTTTCAGGTGGACAGCATATTGGTTGAACAATCATATACCTTACAGAGTGATCTCCCCGATATTTCAAGTACCCACCTGGCACCGTACCATGATATTATTAACTAAATTCCCTGTGCTGTAATTTATATCCCTGTGACTGTTTTGTAACTGCCAATTTGTACTTCTTAATCCATTCACCTTTTCCCCAGCCCCCTAATGCCTTCCTGTCAACCATCAGTCTGTTCTTTGTATCTGTGATTCTGTTTCTATTTTGTTCTTTAAATTCCACATGTAAGTGAAGTCATATGTTATTTGTCTTTCTCTGTCTGACTTATTTCACTTAGCATAATATCCTCCAGGTTCATCCGTGTTGTCGCAAAAGGTAGGATTTCATTATTTTTTATGGCCATTCGCTCCCTCCTTTTTGAGGTTCTAGACACGGGCACTTAGCTACTGCTATGAACTGCCTAACTAAAGAAGATAATAGGAGCCCTCCAGTAGAGAATTCAACCAGTTTTTTATTCTAAAGGAATTTCTGGTCTTTACATTAAAAGAAACACGTGAATTTTTTGCAAATAAAATTCTAACTATTATAAAGAGTAAATCTCTCAACATATGGCTTACCAAATGAAGATAAAGAAATGGTTTTATAAAGCACCATGGGGAATATCCTGGAAGTGGGGGGAGGGAAAGGCATCAGCAGTTTTCATTGGCAGAATGCATGCACTGTGTTTGCTCTGCCCATAGCCGCCTGGGCACAGCGCCACCTAGAGCAGAAAGGCCTGGTGCCTGTAGCAGGAAGAGAGCTGTGTGAAGCGTGGGCGGGTCTGACTTCTCCTGGGTCTGTGCTGACTGGCCCTTGGAGATAGGTCCAGTCATTGCAGATCTCTGTCAGTTTCCCTATGAGTCAAATGGAGAGATGGATTGTATCCGTGCTTTTAAACTTCTCTTTTATTTTAAGCAGAGCATTTTATTGAAAAGAAACATTATACAGAAAATGGACATCTAATTAGCTAAAAAGTGGAGAGGTGTTAAGCGTGTAGGCTCTGGGGCCAGATCCCAGCTCTAACCTGTACTAGAGGTGTGGCCTCGGGCACCTCCTCTCGCCAGTACGCCTTCCGTGTCCTCATTGTTCGAGTGTGGGCCTCGAAGAACCGTTATGAGGGTTAGATGAATGATTTCTAATGTGCACCGAGAATCGTGTCTGACATTCCTATGTGACAGATATCGGCTCTTATCTGATGATCAAGTGGCTCATGCACCCACACATGCGAACACACACTCACACGCGCACTTACGCACGCACACTCATCCACGCACACGCATCGGCTCATACACACATCTACACATACACACTCATCTCCCCCCAGTAACCTCTCACTTTCATAAAAACAACCAGACTAATGATCTCTTCCTTCTTGCTCTAACATTCTTTGAAAGTCTATGTTTCTCTTCTTTGCACGGAACAGGCCGCACAGCACGTGTCACTGATACGTGACCTCCTCCTAAGGCCGAGGCCGGCGCTGCGCCGCCCCCTCCAGGGCGCCCCGGGCCGCTGCTGCCCTTGCTGCCCCCGAGCAGACAAGGAATCAGGAAGTTCAGCAGCTTCCCTTCCGCGTTCGGGGCAGGCTTCCCCTCGAAGGCAAGAACAGCATTAAACACTATTTAGCAAGAGCACTGCCTTCTGTGCCTTTGGGACACAGTGAGTGAGATGGGCCAGCTTGGTCTGGAGTTGAGTCATTTCTGTAAAGAAATCGCGAGCGTGAGCAATGCGGAGAAACCGGTATCAGAGACTTGCACACTAGGTTTTAAAAAATTGCAGGGAAATTCTCAGCAAGTCAACTTAGGAGCCCAGACAAGTGCTTCAGAGCTTTCTGCCCAAGGAGGAACGGTCACAGTGATCGCGGGGTGAATGGAAGAGCAACGGCTGTACTATTATTTTTGATATTCCATACTTTATTTTTTTTTCTTTTTTCTTTTTCTGAAGAACGTACTGTGTTTGCACGTGGAGTGAGTGTCCTGGTGAGACGAGGATAGGAGATCGGGGCCAATGCCTACGACCTCTGGGCAGAGAAGAAGGTGGTCCGGGTGTTACCATTAGTGTTAGAGCGGGAGCCTCCTCACCGCACACCCTCCAGCTCCGGGGGTGGGGGGGTGGGGGGGTGGACTCTGCTTTGTCCTCGGAAGGTCCAGGGGTCCTGTTCTTGCCTCTGCCGCCCGTGAAGCTGTCTGGCCCTGGGAAGGTCATTCAGCATCTTTTGGGGTCTCAGTTTCTCATCTCCAAAGGGTGAATAGCAGTATCAAGTCTTCCGTGGAGTTTTTGTGAAGAATGATTGAGTTAGTTTCTGCAAAGTGTTTATTAGTTTATTAAAACTTGGCGAGATTTAAATGAGGCTATTTAGCAATATGTCGATGTGGAGACTATTTCTCAGAACCACACGTGTGTGTCCTGGCGTCCAGCTCAACAGGTAAAGCCTGTCTTACGGAGGGCGGAAGTGGGGAAGTACGGAGAGGGCTCCTGGCTCAGGAAAGGCGGACTTTCCTTTCCCTAGAACAGTCTAGTGCATGGAGTTCCCTTAGGATGGCTCTTACTGGCTCAGCCCAGCTACTTCTCACCAAGTGTGTGACTCTGTAGTACTGAAATGTCCCTCTAAGCAAATGCATCCACTCTGAAGGGATTGAGTCATTGTTTGTCTCTCACCAAGGTAAATACTGTACAGAATTAACATGGTAGGTTCTGGAGTCACATCACAGCTGTCAAATCCAGAGACAATTCAAAACAGAGTTAGCAGCCCTAACCTTCTCAGTAGAACTCTGCTTTTTACACTGGTGTTTTTTCCTCTACATTTCTAGGGCCATGATACAACCGCAGCTGGAATAAACTGGGCCTTATACCTGTTGGGTTCTAATCCAGAAGTCCAGAGAAAATTGGACGATGAACTTGACGAAGTGTTCGGTATGTCTGGTCCCTTTACTAATTACACTGCAGGTCTCAGTTCACTGAAGCAAATGTTATTCGTCCTCATTAAGAATGAACAATAGGCCCTGGCCGGTTTGGCTCAGCGGTTAGAGCGTCAGCCTGCGGTACAGAGAGACCCGGGTTTGGTTGCCGCTAGGGGCATGTACCTCAGTTGCAGTTTGTCCCCGGCCTGGATGGGTCGTGCAGATGGCAACCACTAAATGTGTCCCTTTCAAGTCGATGTTTCTCTCTCTCTCTCTCTCTCTCTCTCTCTCTCTCTCTCTCTCTTCCTCTCTCTCCCTACCACTCTATCACAAAAAATGGAAAAATGTCTTCAGGTGAGGATAACAACAAAAAGAATGTACAATAGGACCTGCTCTAAAAACCCTGTAATAAGCAGGGAGGCTGCCATATGGGATCCCCTCCAGGACCAGTCTCCTTTGCAAGACCTCATCCATTCATTTACAAGCATTTGCTAATTGCCTGGCATGTGACGGCACCAGGCTAGATGCTGGGACTACACTGATAAGTGCTGCTGTCCTCAAGAATCTCACTGATTCATCGATGAGGCAGACACTCTATACAAAGCATCAAGTCTTGGCTGTGTACTTGAGTGATGTGAAGAAGGTGCTACTGGGGCGCAGAGAAGGGCAGGTGAAGCTAGTTAGAGGGGTCAAGGAAAGCCATTTCAAATAGGAGTGTTTGGGGCCACAGATGAGAGAAGATGTGGGGTCAGCTGATAGGACATAACTTATTTTGTACAACCAGCAGCCTGTAGGTGAGGAGTCCTGGGCTGATGCCAACAGGGAGGTTGTGAGAGCCCCGGGCTTACTCGTTTTTCTCTCTGTCATTCACCATCGTGGCTTTTGGTTTCTTGATTGTTGTTCTGAGTCTCAAGTTTATCTTTAAGGCAAGAAGAAAGGGGAGATGGGGATGAAGGATATATTTGTCTCCTTTGGCTGCTGTCACAAATTCTATAATCTGGGTGACCTAAAACAACAGAAATGTATTCTGTTATAATTCTGGACACCAGAAGTCCCAAATCAGTATCTCTGAGTTAAATCAATGTACTGGCAGTACTGCACTTTTTCTGAAAACCTTATGGAAGAGTCCATTCCTTCCGCTGGCTGCCAGCATCCCTTGGCTTATGGTCACCTCACTCAAATCTCTGTCTTTGTCTTCACATCACCTTGTGTTCTGTGGATGTGTGTCAAATCTCCCCTTGCTCTCTCTAATGACATTTGTGATAGCATTCATGGCCCACCTGGATAATCTACAATCATCTCTCCATTTTAAGATCTTTAACTTAATAAAATCTTCAAGAGCACCTTTTCTCAAATAAGGTAACATGTACAGGTTCCAGGGATTAGGACCTGATCTATTTGGGGGCCATGATCAACCTACCCCAAAGGGACTGTGCACTGTGCCATCAACTTTACCCTTTGTTGAATCAAATGTCACATGGCTTCCCACGGCTGGAAGGAAAAAGGTAAAGGTTGGGTTGGCCAACCAACAAAGTGGTATCTTGATGGATTTTCCTAGAGAAAAAAAGTGGGGAAGGAAAAAAGGAGTAGATGGAAGGCATTCTAGAGAGAGGGGTACCAGATGTATGATGGCAGAGTGGAAAATTTGAAGGTCATATGAACAATAAAGGACAGGTGGAATTCAGAGTAGTTGTTAGGATCTATCGAGAGGCGAAGCTGGAAAAGTAATTTCGTGTTCAGATTGGGTGAGGCCTGGATTGTCATATCAAGAGGAAAGACTTTATTTTGTAGAATGGAGACCAAACTTCTTGGCTCTCTTTCAGTCATTTTATTTTTTCCGTATAAATTTGAATTCTCTCAGATTGCCTCTGGTGGGTAAATTTGCTATTCTAAAAACTCCCGGGTTCTGTCGGAATGTGCTCACGTGTTTGTATTCTCTACAATTTCTAGCCCCTTTCAGGTCTCACAAATGCTTTTTGACCTCCCATAATGAGTCACGCCATTTTTACTAGAATTCTTATTCTGCTGCTTCTGGTGTTTTTTACTCATTGTGCTTCATTTTTCTTCTACCCCCAGTATTAGTTCTAAACATTTCTGAGCAACTGACCTTTGTATATTGAGATGTAAGTATCAATTCCTCCTGTTATTTTTTTTCATTGAGGTAAATTTCACACTTCATTGTATTGTAACAAAACAACAGGTACATTTTCAGTGTTTAAAACTGAACATTATATTTTCTTTCCAGTGAAACAAGAAGAACATTTAAAATGAACAGGAACAAAATTATAACAAAGAATGCCCATTCCAATATGATTCTAGAGGTTCACTGTCCTCCCATCAAGTGGCAAGGCTCAAATCATCATTAGAAGAGAATTTTATTATAAAAGTGTCATCTTGCACTGCAAGGAAGTCCATTTAACGTCACAATTAAACATACCACAGGAGAAGTCATGTTGTCAAAATGCCCACTAAGTCAATCCAAACACCTCAAATCCACCTCTCCCTGACCTTCTATAAACCTATTTTTAAAGTAAAACAAAACATTTTATAAAGAGAAAGTAGACAGAGATACATTGGGAAATGCTAACTGCTCATGTTGACATAGACACAGTGTAATCTGTGAGCTCACAATACAGAGAAAGTAGGGGAGCTAGTGCTCTGTGCGGTGCTACTCGGGCTGAGCCTCTGGCTTCCAGCCCCCAGCAGAGCTCAGGGAACAGGAGGGTGTTCTTCCTTCCCACGGAGCATGGTGGCATCCATTCCACAGTGTTTGTTGAGTCAGGAAGGGATAAAAACAAATTTGGAACAGAAAGGGTTAGAGATTTCTTTCCCGCTGAATTCTGCTCAAGGTATTTTCCCAAAATAAGTTGAGGACCAGGATGTAAAGGAGGGAAAAGAGGCTTCGAGAGCAGAATGGTTGTCCATAAGAGGGGGAAAAGAGACTGTAACTTGCTCCCCGTGACTGGGGAACGTTTTTAAAAAGAAGATTAGAATCCATTGGTGTTCCTTCGTCATCTTCGTCATCCTCATCAACTTCGCCATTGCTCTCTTTCAATCCTCTTCTCCTTCTTTACCCCAGCATCATCTTCTTTTCTTTCTTCTCCTGCCCCGTCTTCATCATCCATATCAGGAAACAAGCAGTAATGAGTTGGATGTTGCCAACTATCACCTTTGGCGATCTCTCCCGGCTTATCTGGATCCGCATCCGAATGGCTATCAACCAGCAAAGAAGCACTTTTGTTTCTCACTCTGCCTCTTCCTGTTGGCTTCATCCTGCACTGGGCTTGCAAAGTTAGCATCAGCTCTTTCCCGGTTACTGCAGTGGTCTTTGAAAATGCATCACCACTCGCACTCAGATGAAATTCTTTGGAGAGGACTTTATTTTCAAGTGAAGGGTTTTCATCAAAATGAAAATCTGTTCTGTGACCTGATTTATTATCTTTCGATTCTGTCACTTCAACTCTGGTCAAATAACACAGTGCCTTTCCATCCATCTCCCCCAGCAGTGCAGGCTTAGAGATGGTTGACAAATGTGGTTACTCAAAAATGTGAGATTTTGGTGAACAATTCCAACTTCTTCTGAAAAATAAACGGCTGGCAGAGTTTGTTACGTGTCTACCTTCAGATCTTCTCGTGCCTGTTCATTGAGTCGGTCTGTTTCCTTTCTTGCTTTCTCAGTCGCGTCCTGCTGTGCTCTCTCTCCCTTTGGCAAGTCCAGAGAGGTTGATGTCTCCCCTGGCCTGGAGGCAGGAGGCAGTTTTGATTTCTTTCTGAAATGGGAAGGGAGGATGTCTCGGGCCATGCTATGGGGAGAGTCCAAGAATCTGACCCAAGAGAAGATGCGCTTCTGGAAGAAGCTCTGAGAACTCAAAATTGCCTGGTTCAAAGTATACTACAGTTCAGTGCGTTCACAACTGTCACCTTTATCTAATTCCAGAACAGTTCAGCAGCCGAGAAGGAAAGCCTGTACCATGAGTCACTGCTCCCCATTGTCTCTTCCTCCAGCCCCTGGCAACACCTAATCTGCTTTCTGTTGCTGTGGATGTGTCTACTCTGAGTACTTCCTAGAAATTCAGTGATACCATATGTGACCTTCGTGTCTGGGTCCTTTTACTTAGCATTATTGTCTCGTTTTATTTGGACGATCTATAATATTAAAATTTTACTTTAGCTGTTGGTATTTAATATTCAGTATATTGATTAACGTATTCTTTTTTGGCGTCTTATCTGCCAAGCCCAGATAGTTCCTTCATTTATTTTATTTAACATATTTACTTTAATCAGGGAAGTCTGATCGTCCTGCTACCTCGGAAGACCTGAAGAAACTTAAATATCTGGAGTGTGTGATCAAGGAGACCCTTCGTCTTTTTCCTTCTGTTCCTATGATTGCCCGTAATTTCAGTGAAAATTGTGAAATTGGTAAGAATTTTTTAATTAAAGTAGCAGGGAGAGTGAATTTTCAAGTGTCTGTCTTGCTCCATTCTCATGGTATCTCAACTTCCTCCCAACAGAGGGGTATAGTCTCCCGAAGGGCTGCCAAACAATCATCATCCCATATGCGCTGCACAGAGACCCCAGATACTTCCCAGATCCTGAGGAATTCAAGCCGGAGCGATTCTTTCCGGAGAATTCATTGGGGCGCCATCCGTATGCGTACGTGCCCTTCTCTGCTGGGCCCAGAAACTGTATAGGTTTGTATTCATCAGAACTGGTTTGTCTTTCCAGGCGTACATGGTAGTGGGTTTCTCACAATAATTTCTTTGAGATACAGTAATGTCCATACAAAGTCTTTTTTTTTTTTTTTTATCCTCACCCGAGGACATTTTTTCCATTTTTTGTTCAGGTAGAGTGGGAGGGAGAGAGAGGAACAGAGAGAGAGAGAGAAACATCGACGTGAAGGGACACATCGAGTGGCTGCCACCCGCACAACCGACCAGGGCCGGGGACAAACTGCAACCGAGGCACGCGCCCTTAGCGGGAACCGAACCCGGGTCTCTCCGGACCGCAGGCCGACGCTCTAACCGCTGAGCCAAACCGGCCAGGGCCATACAAAGTCTTTTTAAAAAAAAATAGTTGTTTTATTTTTTCTCCACTTTGCTATGACTGTCATGAAGTCTACCAGTTTTCTAGGACTGGCGTAGCAAAGGGCCACCGACTGGGAGGCCGAAACAACAAAGCCATGTCTTTGCAGGTTCTGGAGGCCGGAAGTCCAAGATCGAGGTGTCAGCAGGGCTGGTTTCTTCTGAGGCCTCTCTCCTTGGCTAACAGGAAGATGTCTTCTCGTGTCTCCACACAGTTTTTCCTCTGTGTGCTTTTTTAATCCTCACCCAAGGATATGTTTTTATTGATTTTTAGAAAAAGAGAAAGGAGAAAGAGAGAAATATTCATCAGTTGCCTCTCGTACATGCCCCAACCAGGGACTGAACCCACAATCCTTTGGGTGTACAGGACAACACAACCACCAACCGAGCCATCCGGCCAGGGCTGGGTCTCTTCTTTTTATGAAGACACCAGTCAGACTGGATTGTGGCCCACCATAATTTTAATTTGATCGCCTTTCTAAAGGCCCTGTCTCCAACTGCAGTCACATTCTGAGATACTGAAGGTTAAGAATTCAGCATCTGAATGTGGGGGGAATACCATTCAGCTCAGCACAAAGCACCATCAGTCTTATGGTAGAGATTGAATGTTGTAGATTTTGGATTGACGGAATATACTTTATATCATAGACAGCTTATTGCTAAACAATCAGTTTGTTTAACCTGTGCTTATTACTTTTAAGAATTGATTTTTTTCAAAAACCAAAACAAAGAATGCTTACCATAGCACCAGCTGAAGTATTTAAACAAAATGAGTACATGTCGCCAGACATTATAAACACATTTGGCTTTATATCTCTGGCATGTTATTGTTGATGTCAATGCAGGCATGGGTGACATGAGGCCTGGTAACGCTAGAGGAAATTACATTGGAGGCCCAGTAGGACAGTATTCTTGAGTACTGGTTCTCGTGTTTCAGTGAGCCCAGGATTCATCTGGGGTGCTGCAGAAATACAGATTCTTAGCCCCCTCAGCTACTCACATGCACCAGGTGGGAGTGGGCAGGGCACTCAAGAATCTTTATTTTTAGGAAGCATCCCGAGTGATGCCAATTCCCCCAGGGCCTACTGTGAACATCTAATATCGCTTGCTTCCTCTGATAGAACCTGTTCTTTCTCATATTTGAGATATATCTATAATTAACATGATGTTATTTGCATTAATTTGAAGGTAAAAGATTTGCCTTAATGGAAGAAAAGGTCGTTCTTTCCCGCATCCTAAGGAATTTTTGGGTAGAAACCAAGCAAAAAAGAGAAGAACTTGGTCTAGTAGGAGAGCTGATTCTTCGTCCAAGTAATGGCATCTGGATCACGTTGAAGAGGAGGAACACAGAAGAACCCTAACTCTATTATTGGGCTGTGCTCTTATCATGAATAGGGTCTTCCTTTAAGGGAAACTTTGTATTTACAATTTGTAGATCATGAATTCAATGCTGCTAATCCCTAGACCTCATTTTTTCTTGTCCCCACTTACCTTGAGGTCAGGTCTACCAGAGAGTTTTTATATTTTCATCACCACCATAATCTTACCCCTGGTCTTGATCCCAAAAGGAGAGTTAACTGATGTCTGTACCCAAATAAAAATATAAGTTTCTCAACAGAGGGATCCACAGGCCAATTCAATTTCAATTGACAAACCCAAAGAATATAAATTAGTTGAGGTTCCAGAATTTTTTAAGGTATTCTTGTTGACTCAAGAACACAAATATACATGTATACATATACATTTAATTTGAAAAGGATGAGTAATTAAATACTTAGACTTGTGTTTAAGTTTTAAAAATTAGATAAATGTCATCAGTTATGAGAATAGCTATTATTATGATACATTGCAGATTTTATTAAGGAAAATTGATCATTTATAAGTTGACTTATGGGTTCTTTTCCTATTTCCCTTTTAACTGTGTACTTACGGACTTTGTTTCATTTCATTCTACATAACATCACAATTATCTTTATGTGTCATATATTATTAGGAGAGATCCCACTTGGTAATCTCCAATCCCTCACAGTGCCTCATATGGTTGATTAATGGCTTTTGAAGCTGCAAACACCTTAGACCTTACCTAGTTATACTGCTTTTTGTTATAAATAAAGGAATAAGATCAATGAAAGTTAAGTTTCCATCCAAAGTCATACCACTAGTGGGTGACAGGGCTGGAAATAGATAGAGGACTATACTCTAAATCTCTCAACTCCTAGCACAGTATGTTTCCACTACAATATGCTCTTTCTTTGTGAAACTCAGGCCTGTAACTGGTATGTCATTAGAACACAGATCTTCTAGAATTCTTCCATCATTAAGGAAAAGAGAAGCCACACATGCATATTTAGGAACTTCGTATTGTCTCACTTAGTTTAGGGTTGAACTGCCAGGAATTCAGTCCTCCAAAACACCTGTCAAGCTGATAACGGACGGACATTCCCTGAATTTTAATTCCATTAACATTATCTCTACTCCCTCACTCGGTGACTTTAAAAATCTACTCTTAATAAATAATTTTAGTAAGATTGCTTCTTTTCTTTTTATTGATTTTAGAGAGGGGGAGGGAAGAGAGAGAGAAACATGTGAGAGAAATACATCAATCAGTTGCCTCCTCTATGCTCTCCAGCCGGAGATCTAGCCCACAGCCTAGGTATGTGCCCTGACCAGGAATTCGGCCAGCGACCTTCCGGTGCCTAAGACAATGCTCCAACCAACTAAGCCACACTGGCCAGGGTGAGATTGTTTCTTTAGTTTTCTTAAGGCAGTAGCAGGTAGAAACAACAAATCAGGAGAATGGAACATATTCTTGGATGGATATCAAAGTAAGAGTACAAAACCAAAGCCATTGGGAAGCATTACAGGTTGCAACATTCAGGGCAGGGTCAACAGTTCTACCCACTTCACCATCCCAAGGAGCCCCGGTATAGACACGTTAGTCCTTATATTGCTGAGAAAAAGTCAAGGAAGTATATGATACAACTGACAATGAGTCCCATGATATGATAAGCTTTGCTATCTAGAAAGTAGAGATATGTAGAAAATTTATTCCCAGATGATTGTGGATAATTAAAATTTTATTCCCGGAAATTGATATTATTTCTCAATTTTATACACTTACATTTAAACATTGCCTTTTTTTTTTTTAGTGGCTCTACAGTCGACATGGAATTAAATTTAAAGTAAAACATTGCTTCATGTTATCTTTGGGCCTAAAGTCCTCATTTTGCCCCAGAATAATTTATTCATATTTTAATTGGAAATTCACTTAAACTGTGTCAGAGATGAGATGGAGAAAGTATGTCATAATATACAATATCAAAATGAAGGTGCTGACTTATTTTTTAATAAAAGGGTGATGAAATGTCTGTGCCCCTATTTCACGCCATGCTCCCGCTTGAATGAGGTCCCTTAAGGAAAAAATTACATTTTAAATATGGGTGTTATATTTTATTCTAAGAATTGGTGTGAGAAATATAACTTTAAGAGATAAATTAGTGGGTGACTGATTCATAATAAGTAATAAAGAACACACTTGAGTTAATATCGTCAGTGTCACTCACATCCTAACAAAATCCTTGTGCGGTTATGATAGACTGATCTTGAGTTTCCCTGACTCTGAAGAATAAACTAGAGGAGAAGTAGAAATACCAGAACATTTTGCTCCACTTATAGCAGAAAGTGAAATCTCTAGGACTACCTGACAACCAGCAAGATCCACAAGCATCCACTGGGTACCCAGGAATTTATTGTCTAGAAACCACTTCAGGTGATGGACTCCTGAATTTATAGTTTCCTCATTGTCACAGACAACTGTGGAATGTCAGTTTCTTGACCAACTACTGACCTGTCTCACAAATTAAGAGATTCTGGTCTCAAAAAGATCAATTTTTTGCCCTGGCCGTTTGGCTCAGCGGTTAGGGCGTCGGCCTGCGGCCCAGAGAGACCGGGTTCAGTTCCCGCTAAGAACATGTACCTCAGTTGCAGTTTGTCCCCTCACGTCAATGTTTCTCTCTCTCTCTCTCTCTCTCCTCCTCTCTCTCCCTCCCACTCTATCTAAACAAAAAATGAAAAAATGTCCTCAAGTGAGGATTAAAAAAAAAAACGATCAATTTTTACCTTGGACTATATGTAGAAGATCAAAATGTATTTATTTTCAGCACCTAATTATACACTGGTGTGTGTGTGTGTGCGCTATGAGCCATTAGTCTGCTCCCACTCTTGGCAACCCCATGAGCGAGTGATGTACACAATGTCGTGTTCTCAACAGCCCTGCTCGGCTCCTGTAGACTCGCACCCATGGCTTCCCTTATGGAGTCAACCCATCTCCCATTTGGTCTCCCTCTTTTCCTGCTGCCTTCAATTTTCCCAGCATTCTTGTCTCTTCCAAAGAACCTGCCTTCTCCTGACGCACCTGAAGTAGGACAGCTTCAAGTCTGGCGGTTTTTTCTTCAACCTCCAGTGACTTCTCAGGCTTAATGTGCTCTGGCACCTACTTATTCATCCTTCTGGCGGCCCAGGGTATCTATAGAGCCTCCGCCAACACCACACTTCAAAAAAGACAATCATGTCTAAATACTGTGACAATTTTTCTTTTCAAAAAAAAAAAAAAAATAGCATAAGTTTCTATATAGAAATATGATTTTTAGTTCAGCCTTTTATTCTCATGAAGCATACATTGACTAACATCAGGAAGGAGGAATCACAACAAAAAAGAAATTGCTGGTGTTTCGATGGATCCCCTAAATCTAAAAGGCATCATAGGTGGCATATTTGAAATATACTACCTCATTACAGCCAGAAATTATGTTATGGGCAATGTTATCTTCCACTTTTAATAAAAAGAGTTCTGCATTGCAGTAATATGCATTAAATATTTACTTAGGCATCAACTCTCTAAAAACCTAATTTTCTAGCCAAAATGATGTAATGCAATTTTGAAGAACAGTTAGAAAACAAAGGAGATTTAGTGGACTGGTGGTTATGTCTTTAAATATTTTAAAAACACAAACAGGAGAATAAATTATTTTGTGTGAATGTAGTAGGTAAATCTGGGACCAAAGGATAGAAGTTGCAAGGAGGTATATTTCAGTGTATAGGGAAACTTGATCTTAAAAATTAAAATAAGATAGAATTTCAGTGTGCTTCTTTGCAGTCAACGTATCCTGAAAGAGAAACCCAAACTCGATGCCACCAGTGCTAGACTGGGTTTTCAGCTTATTTTTTGTTTATCCTCACCTGAGAATATGATTTTGGAGAGAGAGTATGGGAGAGGGAGTGGGAGAGAAAGAAACATCTATGCGAGAGAGAAACATCGATTGATTGACTCCAACCAGGGAATAAACCCACAGCCTAGGTATATGCCCCAACCAGAAATCAAACCTGTAAACTATTGGTGTACAGGTCAATGCCCCAACCAACTGAGCCACCCAGCCTGGGCTTAACCTACTTTATCATGAAAAGGGCCAAATAGTTTCAGTTTTGAAGATCATACTGTCTCTGTCACAACTGCTTAACTCTAGTTGTAGGGTGAAAGAAAGCATACCTAATATATGACTAAATTGGCATAGCTGTGTGCCAATAAAACTTTATTTGCAGAAATAAATACTGGGCCAGATTCAGTCTGTGAACAGTAGGGTGTCATCCCCGCTACATATTTTCTGAATTAGGTGGGAGCAGGACCTAAACATCAACCAACTCCCTTCTGTGCTTAAATTTCAGTGTTATTAGATTCTTTGCTCATGATATAAGAAGGCGTAGGTGCCATTTGCAATAAGATCCTTCCAGGATCAGCTATCCACACCCACCCTTCATTCAGTCGTCCATCTAGGCAATTATAATGGCAAGGTCCAGTTGGATGAGATTTAAGCTTCATGACCCCAAACAACGGGGAATATTTGGAACTTTTTTATTTATTTATTTTTTCCACATGTTAACATAAATATTTTATTACAAGTAATTATTTTTTTAAAAAAATAAATAAATAAAATGAGTGACATTGTTTTACATTTTTTCAAATCTCTTCTGTAGCTGCTTCTTCATTCAATACGTCGCTGTGACTGAATTACAAAGAAAAGCTGCCCCCACACACGTAGGCAGTTGGAAAAGAAACTTCATGCATCTCCTAAAAGGGTTTTAGGCGCCCCTGGGAGTTCTCCGACCACACTTTGAGAACCACTGCAGTAACCTGACTGCTTCTCAAGTGAAGACGCTGCACAGACATGGACTGTTACTGGCTGGCAAGCCCACCATGGCTAACACATTTCAAACAAATTTCAAAAGGTGGTGGTGGTGAAAGAAACTTGAATTCTCTTGTTAATTCCAAGTGACACCAAGTTTTAACTTGAGTTCATAAATTATTCTTTTGCCAGCCAAGAGGACGTATTAGGTTTTTCCAAGTTTACTTTTCTAAACTAAGAAGAGAAAGCAACATGCCATATACAAAGTTAACATTTAGATAGTGCTCTTAAAGTTTACAAAGCCTCTTTCTGTGCCCCCACGATGCCGCTGAGTCTGTAGAAGCCACACTTCATAGAGGAGGGAAGCTTGGCCCAGAGGACACTGGCCCGAGATTGGCATCAGCAACCAGGCGGTGGACAGAAGCCTGTGACCGAGTGACGTGTGCGCGGGACACCTGTGCTCTGGCTCTAATGAACGAATGTCTCACTGTTACAAGCTGGCTTTCCAACCTAGGAAGGGGGGACCCTTTCATTTATGTTCACTTTTTTTTTTCACATACACAAGAGACAGCATCTGTTCTAGAATCCAACTGGACTTTATTTGACACAGAACACAGTAGGACGGCGGGAATAGCAAACTGAAAAGACAAAGCAGAAAAGACCCCATTCTATCTGACTTACAATTAAGTAACAGAAGGACAAATCATTAAATGAATAACAAAACAGTTGAGCTTGAGGGAAGAATGTTCTTTCTCTAGTGCCCATACTTTTGGAATGCCCACTCCCTGCTGTCCAGCCGACACACCTGCCGTGCCTGGAGTCAGCGAGAGATGCAGTGGACGTGAAAAGCATGACGACAAGTCTGCACCCCTGCCACGGTGCACCCTTCAGAAGGTTAGCCTGACATTCTTTGCAAAGATCCATAATATGGTCCCTGCAGATGGCGCAGTTATCAACCTCAATATCCCAGGCCCAGCGGGCTACTGCATGCCACTTTTTCACTTGGGAAACACACGCTCTCTCTTATGAACTTGTTTAAGAAGGGAAACCTGGGCCTGGATTACAGGGCCCCAACGTGAAATAGTGAATATATTAAACAGCTGGACACAGGAATGGCCTGTCCATAGACTATCTTGACAGGACAAAAAGTTGAAACTGTTGGCAGAAAGCTGAAGTCAACATGGAAGCCCAGCAAACCTGCCGGCAGAACCAGTGAGGGGAGTGGGGAGACAGGAGTTCAGGAGGGAGGGAGACCCTCAGCCCAGAAGCACCAGCAAGTGCGCTTGCAGTGAGAGACCCCCTCTTCCTCCCGGGGCTT